GGTTTTCATGGGAGAATCACAGATTTCAGGCAAAGGGGAAGGTTTAAAGTGGGGCTACTGGCATCCATCCCTCAGAGCATAAGATCTCTTTTATGGAGAGAGAGCAGCTGGAAAATGTGTCTCACTTCCTCCGCCGCCTCACGTGAAAGTAACTTTGTCTTCATGATAGAGTCCCCAGGGATCGAGTGAGAGACAGTTTGGACTGAATGAGAACACATCTCAGTTCTCACTCCCTAAACTCAGACAATGGCCCCACAGCTCAGACTGAACAATGAAACCTTAACCTGAAACATAGGCAACATCAGTGTAAACTCCCCACATACATGCTATCCCTTGCCAAAGAGTCTTCGTCATGACCTGGAGCTAGAGAGGAGTTCAGTCTATGTCTACACTGCAGTTAGACAATTGTGGCTTGCCTGTGCCAGCTGACTTGGGTTCTCGGGCCAGCTGTTCTTGGGTTATCATGACCCTCCCACACCGCAGGATCCTAAAGCCCAGGCTCCAGCCCGAGCCCGAACATCTACACCTCAAATAAACAGCCCCTCAGCCTGAGCCCTGTGAGCCAGAGTCAGCTGACCCAGGCCAGTTGTGGGTTTTTAATTGCAGTGTAGACATATCTTCTGTGGCCCATTAATCCTTGGTTCTCTACTGAGTCCACACACAAAGAGGCTAAAATCTGAAACCAACTCAGAAACCTTCATCAAAATTGAACTCAGTTGTGGTGGGGCAGTGTTTCTGCCCAGTCTGCAAAGAGCTGAAAATCACTAACAGACTGATGTGCAGAGGTCATAGCAAAGAGGCAGCAGAAGGTAACTGATAGTCAACTGTTGAACGAGCGGCTGGTGAGGCAGGGAGGAACCATGGCTGGCGGGACGGCCAGCAGAGAGGAGCAGCGGCTGGCGGGGTGGCTAGGTAGCGAGAAGCAGAGGCTGGCAGGGCAGCGAGGAGCAGTGGCTGACGGGGTGGCCAGCCAAAGAAAGTGCTCTGATGGCAGAGCAAGCAAGATGCCTTCTTCCCTGGGTGGGAGGTGAACTCACACAGATGCGCCTCTGAACCCTGGGTCCTCACTAACCAAGGACAATCACTGCGAGTGGGGTGTGGTGAGCCAGAAGAGAGGGGCACAGAAAAGGAACCTTTGGTTGCAGAACTCAAGAACATGAGGCGGAAGTCACTGCCCCATGCATGCTGGGGTGGGTGTCCTGTTCACAGTTTTATGATTAAGAATCCTGCTTGTGGCATTTTCCCTGATTAACATCAGGTGATTTCCCTCCTTTCATTAAAAGTTTCTTTTCTACGTTCAGACTCTGCGTTTGTGAGTGGGGAAGTATTGTCTCTCAGAGGCGCCTAGGGGTGGTGTGTAATTTTCCCAGGTTACTGGGTGGTGGCTCAAGCCAGTTCTGTGTTATGTCAATGGAAAGAAACCCCTAGATATTGAACCCGGCCCTGGCAGAAGGGTTACACGCATCCCGAGGGTCCCTGTGAATTCTGTGTAGCCTGATTCTGGGACACAAACCTTATTATCTTCTGATCAGATTAACTGGTGATCCTATAACCCATATTATCTAAACAATATTATTAATCTCCCATAAAATCAGGCAACACTCTGAACCCTTCAACTGGAACTGCCCAAATCCCAGACAGGAAGCCCCAAATCTTCTGCCTAACTCAGATGAAGTTTGGAAACCTTCACCCAAAAACTCAAAGCAAACTCGAAAACCAGCCACCCAATCCCTGGAATCTTTGTCCCAAGCTTGAATGTGAATACCTAAACTTTAAACCCAAACCTTTGCTACCAACCCCACTTTGTCATACTGCTGTGATCCCAAACCCTGTCCACCACATTACGTTCCCGTTTCCACAGCTGCCTGTGCACTGCCCAGGACTGGAAATCCAAAAACATCAGAAGGAAAAAGCCTATTCCTCAAGGGCCTCCTCCCTGCAGCTGGAGCATATCTTATGAGGAAGAATCCTTGTTCCGGGTTGAGATTTCCAGACCTTGAACTTGCTGATCTGAGAGATTCTGACCAACACCTCAACAGCTGCAGGCTTCTCTGAACCAAGCCTCCCAGCTGTGAGCCACAAGATTCAGAGCTGGATATTAAACAGCTGAAGGCTCTGCAGAACTTCAGATCTAGATCCAGCCTGTGAAGCTGGTATAACAGGCTAACTCAAAAACACCGGATCTGGACACCCCTGAACTTGGGGATGCTGAAGACCTACGTCCAAATCTGAATGTTGTGCCTTGGGACCAACCCTAGTACTAACGAAGAGGAACTGGAACCAGGTCCAGAAATCCATGGGAGAAGCAAAGCTTCTGCCACATGCAGAGCACGTGGCACAAGGATAGTGGGGGCTCAGCTGTCAGTGGATGCATCGGTGAATTGATCAAGTGCACTGGGCTGTGTGCTATGTGAGATCTGTGGTTCTGGGGAAGCCATGTGTGCAGATCAATCAAATAAGTTACAGCTAGGAGTGGCTTCTACACAGGTGGCACCATTTACCAGGGAAAGCATATATGTGGGGAACAGACTGAGCCTGGCTCTGCTCCCAAGCCTGTTCCTGCTCCTTTGTGTGTCCAGGTGCATTCTCCTCATGCCACTGTTGATCCAGAGGCCGAGATTCTGATAGACGTAGGTCTTAGGAGAACCAGCTGAACTGGGGCAGATGCAACCACTGTGGCTACCCATCAGCACTGGGGAAGAAACCATTCTAGAGGGTGCCAGTTCAACCAGATCTAAGCTGAAGACCTGATCCCAGGCACTAAAACCAATTGGTAGAACCAACACTTGTAAAAAGCCTGGGATGGCTGATGTGTGTGGACACAAGGCGATGTACAGGCTTTACAAAGTCAAGACATTCCTAGCAACAGCTTGTTGCAATGCTTTTTCAGCTGGTATAGACAGTGCCTTGAGATGAGAGAGGAGTCCAGTTCATGGAGCCCATTCCACCATTGGTTTCTTTCCAAAGGATTGTCAACAAAGGGGCCTACTTGAACCACTAGGAATTCAACCAAAACCCACACATTCACAAAGGCAAGAGAACTGTGGTAAGAAAAGGGAAACATTTAGTTACTGCTATGAGGAGTTTGACTAGACCCTGGCTCCTATAGGTGACCCCTACCCTATTCCCCAGGATCCATCCAGTCCCTGCACTAAATTGCATGACATATCTGCCATCTTTATCCCAAGCACTCACAGCAGGGGACACAAGGGGCAATTCATCAGCAGCCAGAACGAAGGGACAAGTCACCACTGGTGGGGACCAGGCCTGGGTCACTGAGCAGCAAAGGGCTAGAAGTTGTTTAAGAAAAGCCAGCTTGGCCATTGTAGCAGGGTGCTGGTGCAGAAGCACCTAATTAGCCCCTGCCCGGTCAGCTCCAGTCAAGGGAAACAGATTGGAGCTGATGGAAAAGGCCTGATGCCGGCCTGAGGATTGGCAACACCTGCTGGTCTGACAAGCCACGGGCAATAAAGGCTGAGAGGGAGCCAGAAAGAGGGAGGGCAGCAAGGGAGAAGTCAGTCAGGGTGGGAGCCATCCTAGGCATGTTGTGCCCACCTGGAGCTCTGCCACCTCCTGACACCACTTATGGGATTGAATTAATGTCTCACTCAGGGATATTTATTGGTAGCCCATCTAGCTGTGTTGGTGGGTACCCAGCAATGTGTATAACTCCTGGGTATTTATACAGTAAGCTGTGGCATTACCTAGAATAGGTGAAGCTATGAGAGTTTTACTGAGTAACATGGGTGGTTCTGGCCATTTCCCTAACGGTTTGATATTTGCCGTTCAACCCTACTCCCCACCCTACACCCTCGATGAGCCGAGTTGTGGGCCCGCTCGTCAGGAAGCGGAAGGCAAGTCGATCAGGCTCCTGTGGTACATCATCCCCAGTTGGCACCCTCCTGTCCAGCTCTTTTCCGTTTGCCTACAGGAATCGCAGTGCAGCAGGCAGTCCTCCTCCTCCTCCTTCCTCTTTCCCTCTAGTCAAAAGACCCAGGAGAAGATAAAGGACAAGGAGAAGAAAAAGGGAGACCTAGATAGGAGCCTTTAGGGAGAGGAGAAACAGGGAGGAAAACAACATGGGCATAGGGAGAGCTACTTCTTCCCCTTCCTACCTCCTCCTGAGCCCCAGCAATCCAGAGACAGCAGCCCATTATCTGCCATTGCAGGCCTCGGCTTTCATCCTGGGGACAGTTCCCACCACCATGTGGCCATTTGATGGGTATTTGTGCCCCTGCCCTTTTGCTAAGGGGCCTCTCCCACCCCACAGGCAAGACTTAGCCCCTTGTCAAGTCTCCCAACCCTGCCTCAGCAGCAGTAATGTCCAGCCTTCAGGAAGTGTCCAACTCCCAGCTGGAGCTGGCTCAGTTGTCCAGTTCTAGGCCTGCATGGCAACCAACCTACTCTCCCTTCTGAAGACAGCAGGGCCCGTCATTACTCCAACCTTGGGATTGGTGCTTCATTTGCTCCCCCTGGGGATGGGTGCTGGACAGAAGTGAACAACAGCAGTGAGGAAGAGTCTGCCCTCTTGGTATCACTGGTCCAACTGAGAACACCAGAAGTCACACCTCGTTCTCAGCATAGAATTCCCAGCAGACTCCAGAGAAGCACCATCACCACCTGCAGGGATTCCACAGCTGCAGCCCATCCAGCCCAGCTGTGTCCTGCGGGGGACCCCACTCCGCATCCCTGAACAGGACTGTGGGACAACCTTAGAAGAGGCTGCCCTGGGCAATCCACCACAGGCTTTACACGGAGGGCAGTGCAGGCTGGACCAGGATTTGGTCAGTCCTGTAGGCATACCCACACTGCGGACATAATCCACAATGCTCACAGCCATATACTTCATTGATGCTCAGTGCCTTGATTTAAGGAGGCAACAAAGGTGCTGCCAGTTCTGGGGAGACTGCAGACAAGGGGGTAACAAGTGAGCACAGACATATCCCAACCCTGGCTGCCCTCACAGGAACAACAGGATTAGGGTCAGCACCAGACATATATGCCAAAAGACATCCAAAACTGCAATTTATTAACAACTCTCAATATGTAAATCGATTATATGAACATAGTCCCATGATGTGAGATTGACCCCTCCTAGCAAACTAACCCTACATCCATCACACTCTAATTCTCAGTAGGTATTTTCTAGCCCTCCCAGTAGCTCCATCAACCCAGCACCCAAACATTAACTGCCCTGCATTCTCCCTTTGGGTGCATCCCCCAGATTCCTCTTTTTGTAGCTTCCTACCCCTCTCTCTAGGAGAATGTTAAAGGGGGTTACCTAGCTCTCAACTGGCCCAGGCCCCCTGTGTATTCCCTTGAGATTGCCTTCTGTGTGGCACTCAGCTCTTCTCCTTTTCTTTCTATATAGAGAGGAATGAAGGTTTCTTCTATTCACCCTATAACCTCTTCCTTCCCCACCCCCTTACTGGATCGATGAGAGGTTTAATTGATGCATTCTGGAGCTGCATGTGAGCAGTGTAGATAGAGATTCTCTTCCCCCTTGGCTCAGAAGTTAAGTGCAATGGAAGAACCAGGAATTCCTGTGAATTACACCAGGGACAAGGTGTGTCTATCTCATCCCCTGAAAAAGAGGGGGGAAAAGTAAGTTTACACACATTTCCCTAGTGCCTTTCATTCTGAAGGGTCTTAAAGCACTTTACACTCAGGGGCTGGATGCAGCCACTTCTGGGGTGGAATGTGGCAGCTGTTTAGTAAAACTGCACAACAGTTTAGGAGATGAAAGGAATTGCCTGTTCTTGTACATAGTACCATGGGATCTTTTACTGACCACAGCCAGTCAGTTTTTCATCTTATCTCACAGACAGCACTTCCATCAGCACAGCTGCCCTTGGCATCATGCTGGGGCACCAGGGTAGGTACAGACTCGGGAGGAGACCACCCTCTACTACATCCCACACACCACTCCCTGTAGCACAGCGCCCTTAGCATCACATTGGGGCATTGGGCTAGGTTCTAACTCAGAGGGGAGAGCGCCCCTCCTGAGCCACCCACAGCACCCCCTGCAGCACTGTGCCCCCTATCACACACTGGAGCCCTCGGGTCAGTAGTGACTCAGATGGGAGAGGACCTCCCTACTGAGACATCCATACCGCTGCCTGCAGCACAGAGCCTCCCGGGATTGGGATCAGCACTGACTCAGAGAGAAGTGCTTCTTTTCTTCACCTCATGCCTGTGCTTGTATTAGGTTGCACAATAATGGTGCATACTACTCCATGAAAGCCATGCTCACCTCACTGGCATGGATCTGCGTATTCCACCGTCGCCTGCTCGTCTGTAACCGAAGAAAAGAGACAATTACTTTCAGCACCAGACACAAGCTGGGGGAAAAGAAGAGAAGCCCGATTCCCAGATGAACTACAACCCTCCCCCAGGTCACCGAAGGTACAGCCATGCTCTGGATGGCTGAACTTTCCAACATCTTCAGACTGTACCATTGGTTGAGCAAAGTAAGGAACAGGGGGAGGAGACTCAATAATAGTTTAAAATTAATATGAGCAAATAAATGTTCGTGTGGTGGGGAGATTTTACTGGCATGCTTTGGGATGGATGCATCATGCAGGTTGTCTCAAAAGACTGTCAATTAAATCTTTATTCCTAACATCACCATGAGGTATTGTCTACGTGCCAGATGTGAGAAAAATCTACTTTTGAAATGGTCCGAGAATTTCTGAAAGTATGACTGGCTGTAAATCAAAGTGTCTTAGATATCTTGAGTCACAATGGGGTGGGGGGGGGGGGGTGGGAGAGAGACCGACTAAAAACCAAACAGGACCTAAAAGAGCTTTTCTGTAGGAGATCTCAGGACCTCCTAGAGCCAAGGGTGTACTAGGTTCCACTGAGAAACTGTGAATCTTTGTGAGGCTCCCATTTTTAGTGCTGCTCAGCTGTGACATCCTGGACTTTAAAGTGATGACATTTTTATAGCCAAAAACCTGCCCCTGGGCAAGGACCGAATTTGACTCTCCAAGTTTTCTGCAATTTATTTGTATTTTGGAGGGGAATTAATTCCACATGTTGCAGGGGGAGGAGGAGAAGGAAGCAGCATTTTGATGGCAAGGTTATTTTATGTTAAAGGGGGCTCTACAGTGCATATGGAACAAATAAATAATAATCCCTAGAGGTGCATGAAATATTCACAGTAGAGGTGAAACTACTTCGTTTGTGAGACTTTTTGCATTTTGTCACCCATTCATTTGTCACCTAAACTAAACTGGGAGGAGTGGTAGATACGCTGGAGGGGAGGGATAGGATACAGAAGGACCTAGACAAATTGGAGGATTGGGCCAAAAGAAATCTGATGAGGTTCAATAAGGATAAGTGCAGGGTCCTGCACTTAGGACGGAAGAACCCAATGCACAGCTACAGACTAGGGACCGAATGTCTAGGCAGCAGTTCTGCGGAAAAGGACCTAGGGGTGACAGTGGACGAGAAGCTGGATATGAGTCAGCAGTGTGCCCTTGTTGCCAAGAAGGCCAATGGCATTTTGGGATGTATAAGTAGGGGCATAGCGAGCAGATCGAGGGACGTGATCGTTCCCCTCTATTCGACATTGGTGAGGCCTCATCTGGAGTACTGTGTCCAGTTTTGGGCCCCACACTTCAAGAAGGATGTGGATAAATTGGAGAGAGTCCAGCGAAGGGCAACAAAAATGATTAGGGGTCTGGAACACATGAGTTATGAGGAGAGGCTGAGGGAGCTGGGATTGTTTAGCCTGCAGAAGAGAAGAATGAGGGGGGATTTGATAGCTGCTTTCAACTACCTGAAAGGGGGTTCCAAAGAGGATGGCTCTAGACTGTTCTCAATGGTATCAGATGACAGAACGAGGAGTAATGGTCTCAAGCTGCAGTGGGGGAGGTTTAGATTGGATATTAGGAAAAACTTTTTCACTAAGAGGGTGGTGAAACACTGGAATGCGTTACCTAGGGAGGTGGTAGAATCTCCTTCCTTAGAGGTTTTTAAGGTTAGGCTTGACAAAGCCCTGGCTGGGATGATTTAACTGGGAATTGGTCCTGCTTCGAGCAGGGGGTTGGACTAGATGACCTTCTGGGGTCCCTTCCAACCCTTATATTCTATGATTCTATGATTCTATGATTCAAAACTGGGCCCATTCTGCTGAGAAATACATTGTGATTTTCTGAATACTTTTGCCCTGAAACGGGTCTTTTTCACAATGTAAAAGAGCTCCTTTCAAGCAAAAGGGAATTTACATTTTCCGGTTTTGTTTTTTCATTTTGGGGGGAAATAGTTGTTTTACTGAATTTCACACAAAATCAGAAAATCAAAAGGGTGTGAAATCACCTGAAATGAAATAGCTAAAATCTGCAAGCAACGTTTCCTCGGCAAAATTGCCAGTAATTTGACACAAATCATATCCTAACCCACCTGGCTGGTAGTAATCATAGACTTTGACTGCAGCTGGCTTCAGATCCTTCACTGGAATGTATTGGCTCATGGTGAAGGAGTATGTCTGAGTCTCCTTATTCAGCTGTGAGAGAGAGAAAGAAAATAAGAGACAGAGGGACAAACAAGGTCTGGTTTGAGCATGCACTAAGGAAGCTCCCCCACACCCCAACTCTGCCAATGTCACTCAGTCCTGCACTGTAGCCCCCGCCCCCCCCTGCTATTCCAGTCCGGGGCTCCCCACACAGCTCTGCCAATGCCCCTTTGTCCTGCCCTAGAGCCCCACCCCTGCTGTTCAAATCCTGGGCTCCACACACAGCTTTTGCAGATGAACTTCCTACTGATGCACCTGGAGGGCCCCCTGCTGTTACATTACCAACAAGACATGAGCAGAGACGTGTGTGCTGAATATCAGGGATGTTCTGGTTTTTTAACGATAGACGGAACTGGCTATTGAGGCAGTGGTAAGATTTTAACTCAGGATTTCAATAATGTTTATCTAGCTATCTATGAATGTTTGTTAGATACCATGGTATTTATCTGAGCCCAGAGTATGGACTGTAGAAAGAGCGGGATCTGTCCTGAAGTGACAGGCACATTCTCTGCCCTGCTCTTTTATCTAAACATTGCTACTATGTTGGAGCCCATTGCTCTTGTTTATTAGCTCTGGTTCTTTCAGGGATGTTTTCCAAGAAAAGTGAGTCTTCTAGCATGATCTGAAAGCAGAGCTTTTCTGATCCCTGTGGGAGGGTGTTCCAAAGCCTGGAGGTTATTCTTGAAAAGGCTCTTTCTGATTCTCGATTATACACATTGATTCAGTTAGTGGTCATGTCGAGGAGCATAGCTGCCATGGTCATTCCCTGAAGAATGGAAGGATCTTGATGTAACAAAGTTATTAAGGGGACAAGACCAGGTCAAGTCAGCATTAGAAGCTTGAAATGGATCCTGTACCAAACAGACTGCCAGCATAACAGACTTCTCAGTTCATCCTGCTCAGAGACGGGCTTGCTGTGTTACGCACCAGCTCTGGCTTCCTTGAGAAATGTCTGTCTAGATTCACACACGAGTGACCTTTTGAAGATGGGCTGGATTATTGCATGCTTCTGAGTGATAGGTAAAGTGCCTTCTCTGAAGGAGGCTCAGCAGTGGGCCAAGCATTTCCCCACCAGCTTTGACCAGATGAGAGACAAAGGAGGAGATCACAGGTGATAGCATAGTTCTCTCTCAGGTGCCTTCTAGTGTCCTAGACAGAGACACGAACTCAGTTCTGACACAGTGAGAAGGACGCTGTACTTGCTGCTCCAGCATATATAATGCTTGGCCCCCCGCAGGCTGTCATGGCCTCAACTCCATCTTCTCAGCAAAGCAGGAGGAGGATTCTTCAGAGCTAGAGGCACAATCCCCATGCTTGCACCCTGAGGTGTGCGGTTTGAAGCAGTGGTGAAGAGGAGCCAGCCTGTGTTTATGAAGCAGCTCTGAATCAGCACACTTACCTCAGATGGGATCTGATGAAGGTGATGGTTCCGGAGAACAATTTTGTTTACTGCAGTCACCACTGTGGCATCAATACAAGTGTTTTCATTAGACTGCAACTGGTAGTTCGGTATGATTTGGAGCAGGTACCCTCCCTCCCCGCACTGGCACTCCAGCCACCAGCCCTTAGTGTCAATTCATCTAAGAACCATGATGGCCAATGTGGGCAGCATGGTAGTGGCAGGGAACATTTGGATGCCAGTGGGTCAATTGTCACAGCTGGTAGGTAGTCATAGTGTTCTGTCAGATCACTGACCATTGCTGCTGGCGCGCGGGGGTGGTGGGGGGGACAATGCTGTTCTTTGAGGGCGGGGGCGGGGTGTTCGAAATATACAGTGTGTGACCAACTGAATATGTGGAATTGGGGAGTGCTTGGAGAATGAGGTTCTGAACAAAATTATTGAGGAGAAGGGATGAAATCCCAGAGTTTAGGAGACTCCAGCAGCTGGCATGACACTCAGTCTCTCTCATACAGTAGGTAGCTGTCAGGGGGTCTGTAGACCGTACTGGAGTTGTCCCAGATTAGCATGCTAAGGGAATGCACACACAAACTTTTGTTTTAGAGGGTGAACCTTGCTTGAGTCAGAGGCTTGATGCAGTTAGTACAGTCATTCCTCCTGCTCCTCGTTTGCCAGTCCTGCCTGGGAATATAATGAGCTGGGTAGCCAGCTGGGTGAGCTGAGAGAGTAAAGGGTTGGCAGTGACTGCCTAGATGCACAGGAGGATGGGATTCTTGTCGGAGATCAGGTCACATCCTCCAGTTTAAACTCCCATATAAACTGCCTGGGACCCTCAAAACTAACTCAGGTCCACTGGGACCCAACACTCTTACTGCTGGTATGAGACCTACAATGTAGGTGTTAATTAGTTTGTGTAGACGCAACAAAGCTACTACCTTGTTCCAGCACTGACCTGGTCCAGATAGATGGTGAGATCCTCAGGCCCAGTCTCCACTCTCTTCACAAATGGCTGCTGCTGGAGCTGGGGACGGGGAACTGCAGCATTAGAGTCTCACCCCAAAACACCCCAGCTCATTCTCCCAAGAGTCTCACCCATGGAAGACACGTTCTAGGGATTGGGGTGTGTGAAAAGTGTCCCCTACCTCTTGACCAGCATCTCCTCCAATAGCCCAGCTCATTCCCAGGGAGTCTCACCCACACAGGAGTGAATGGGAAACAACCCATAGAGTCGGGGGGGGGAGTGTTTAAAGTTTTATGGGGTCAGGGAGCAGTAGAAAGTACCCCCAGGAACTGACTTTCACCCCAGTGACAGAGCCAATGGTAAGTGCCCGCATTGAGACCATCGTCTGCGCTCCCTGGCTGTTGGTTGAGCTGGCTTCCATGCAACACATGTTTCTGGTCACCAGGGACAACGTGCCAATGGTTATGGGAAGCGACTTACAAAGTAGTTGGTGCCCCGGACAGGCGTGAATCCAGACAGGTTCTTCACCTTGATAATGACCATGTTGGAGGTGCCACGGCTCCCCACATAACTGGAGGTGAAAGGCAGGAGGTCATGTAGGTTACATCCACCTTAACTTTGCCCTTTCCCCGATCTTGCTGCCTCTTTTCCTTCTGCCCTCCTCCATATCACCCTGCCCCCTCCATTCCCTTCCTCTCTAGCTCCTCACTCTCACCTGACGCTGATGTTGAGGGACAGGAAGCGAGGGAGTGTTTGCTTCTCACACTTGTTCTCTCCTACTCCCACGCTCAGGGTGAAGGTCCCTGCATTCTTTGAGGGAGGCACATTATACCTCAGAACTGTCTGATGGGAGAGACACAGAAAAGACTCAACAAATAGAGTCACGCAAGCCTGCAAGAGACTATATCCTTGCCACTGCCTCCAAGAGGATCCTGAGCTAGCCAGTGCTGACCTGGTGCCCTAGAGGTGAAAGGATCCATACCCCATTCTGCAATCCCTCCAGCCCTCCGATCTGAGGCTCCATTAGAAGTGAAAGGCTGCATATCCCATTCCCTCATGACCCTGAGCCAGGCAGTGCCCCCTTCCATGACATCCTCCTGGCCTCTCTCATAAGAGCCACCACTCACCTGCACATACACACAGCCTGTGCCAGCTGCTTGTATGGTGTAATTTCCAGGAATGTCAGGGAGAGGCTGCTGCTGCAGCACCAGTCGGTTGGTGGCCTCCACATGGAAGGACTGCTGGAAGTTCTTTCCTGATTTCACTGTCACAGAGACGTTTCCGGATTTGATGAATGTCACTGCTCCATATCTAGCAAGAGCTTGGAGAGCAACCACAGTGTCCTGGGAAAGGAAAGGCAATCACATCACTGAGTGCAGATCCACTCCTCAGGGTGCTGGCACATGGATCCCCACCCCCTCCATCAGAGCTCAAGAACCATGGGATCCTTTCCCCGGGATATTAACAGTGGGATTCAAGCTCCCAGCCCCACAGTGCAGTGGGATCTGTTCCTCAGGGCACCAGAAGCTGGATTCTCACAGACAGCCTCTGAGCATAGTAAGAGTCTAGCACAGAGATTCAGCCCTCAGTGGACATTCCAGCCTGTTGCTCTCCCTGACTAGACATGGTGTCTGGCTCTGAGAGAAGCTGGTTTGTTACCTGGGTAGAGGCAAAGCCCCCATAGGCATTCTGCTGCCTGGCCAGCCATGCCACAATGCCAGTGGCAGAAGCAATCTCTTCCTTGGACACTTTTTCTGTAGCGAGCAGAGCCAGTAACACATAGGCGGTTAACTCCACGTCCACAGACTTGGGCTGGGACCAGCTGTACTCAGTGGGAGGCTGGGCTGGTTTCCTGCTCCAGTGTATCTGCCCTCCTGGAGGAGGATAAACAAGAACCTGAGGCTCAGAACAGGACTTGCTTGGGTCCAGGACTGCAATCCAGGTTGAATTTCATGGTTACATCCCACCTCATGTGCGACATTGAAAAAAGCCCATACCTGAAATCTGGGTGGGGAAATCCTCACGGGAATGCTATTGTGTCAGTGTACTGAGTGATTAAGTAGTATTCATGATAGAGATGCCACATCACATCACTGCCATGATCAAAAGAGAGGGATCACCCATGCCTTCCAGCAGGGAGTGTGATGCAAACAGGTCCCATCATGATGCAACATCAGTAAAGCCAGTTGGTGGATGGGAACGAGCAGAATTTAACACAATAAGACTAAACTGGGATAAATCAACAAGGGGGAATCATCCCAAATACAGATACTCTCTGGGGACAGAACCAGTCTGGCAGGGACAATAGACAGCAAATTAGATACGAGTTTGCAGAGTGACAGGCTTAATAAAGCTAAGGGGGGGAGGGATAGCTCAATGATTTGAGCATTGGCCTGCTAAACCCAGGGTTGTGGGTTCAATCCTTGAGGGGGCCATTTAGGGATCTAGGGCAAAAATTGGGGATTGGTCCTGCTTTGAGCAGGGGGTGGGACTAGATGACCTCCTGAGGTCCCTTCCAACCCTGATATTCTATGATTCTATGAAAAAGGCCAGTACAGTTTTGGATAGCACATTCACATTCCGGAGCAGAGCAGAAAAATGATAGTTCCCCTACGCAGGGGGGACTGAATCTAGACTATTCCTGCTTTGGGCACCACATTATAGGAGAACTATATTGACAAACAAGCAACAGATTATCAGGGGGCTGGAGGGAGGGATTGATGAGGAAAGAGCCAAGACCTACATTTTCAAGAGCAGCCACTGATTTTGGCTGTCTCAACGTTTTGATGCCTGACTTGAGACACCTGAAACTTAGAGGCCACTTTTGAAAAAGTAGGAGTAAGCCTGTATCACTTCGCTAAGAAATGATGAAGGGGATGCAGGGACTTGGTACTAGTTGCAGTGCACTTAGGAGGAGAGGAATTACTTAGTGTGGTGCAAGGGGATATGACTGAGGAGGATGAAATGGAAAGAAGAAAGAAAAACTGTATTGTAACGGAGGCAGGAAAAAGCACATCAGTCGCTCAAGGGAAGGGGCAAAAGCCCCAGGGACAGGACAAAATGCTAGAACATGTGCTGCAAGGACCAATCTTGCCTGAGCTCATAGGGCTTTTCCACCAATAATGTTCTTGGTTCTGTGGAAAGCATCCTGGCCCTAAGCATTGGTGGAATTTTTGTTATAGTCACGGGAGTCCTAGTGCTTCGAGTCAGGCAGCTTCTTGCCCCATGGTACCTGACTTGATGGCCTGCTGGTCCAGCTTATTGAGCAGTAATTGCCTTGTCACAGTGTCTCCAGCCAGTGAGTAGACATACGCCAGCAGTGCCTGGGTGTAGAGATCAGTGGCTTTGGAGGAAGCATTTCTGAGGCACTGCAAACTGTTCTTCACCATTGGGTCCTGGAACAGGAAGAAACATGGAGTTCACCTAACATAGGAGATGGAGCAGAGAAAAATGGAGACAGCTCCATAGTGACCAAATCCTGACATGGTCATGAAGATTGGGTACGTTTCGGCTATAACTATCCGCTGTGCATGACAGAGGAACAGGTGGGCCCATGGAAGCACTAGAACTAAGACAAGAGGAGAGGAGTGAGCGAGGCCGTGTGTAGGCAGCACTGTACTCACATTGAGTGGCTTTCCTGCCTCCAGCAGTGCACCAGTGATGTAAGCAGCCAGAGAGATGTCGTCATTTATCCCACCCTGCAGATCAGTGAGAGAAAGAGGTTGGTGGGGAAATGAACCTCCCAAATGGTAGCTGCTATGTGGCACCTTGTGATAGAAGGTACCCATGACCACATTCCACACACTATTGTAATAATCTTTGTACGATGTATGCCTTGTGAGGTACCATTTGAAAACTCATAATTCGCAGCTCATTATTGCCCTAGTAAAATACATATGGCAACATTGTATGTGAAGTTAGAAGATTTCCCTAGATGACATTATTAACCCATGTGCCAAACCCACAGCCCTACCGAAGCTGAAGTTGGGCGGGGGGGAGGGGGGAGGGAACGGTCTATCCTAAACAAAGGAATGTGTGATCTGCTTAATTTGCATTTAAGCAGTAAACAGAGTTATCAAGCAGGAAGGGGAGAAAGGAAGCTCAAGCAGGTGACAAAAAAGCAGCATGGAATATCTTTCCTCATAGACTTTTTATCTCCTGGTACCCAGCTGGAAATGTTTTTCAAAAGGCGGGCTGAAACTATAAAAAGGAAGGGCAAACACCCCAAGACACACCCGCTCTTTCTATCCATTGCGTTCATGGCACCTGAAGTGACAAAGCAAGCATTTGTTGGTTTCTGGGAGAAGGGATTCTGACCTCAGAAGTTTGGTCAGTGAGACTGGTGAGAAAACTTTGCTTTGAATTTAACGTAATTTGTTACATTAAGCACCAGTTGTGTTTCATCTTTATTTTCTTGTAACCATTTCTGACCTATGCCTCATTACTTGTAACTTACTTAAAATCCGTCTCTATGTAATTAATAAACTTGATTATTGTTTTGTCTAATCCAGTGTGTTTAAATTGAAGTGTTTGGGAAATGCCATTTGGGGTGGCAAGTTGTGTGCTATTATTTCTATTAAAGAAATAAACGGACTTTATATAAACTAGTTTTGTCCAGAAGAGGACTGGGCAGTACAGGACATAGACTTCTGATGGGGGAGGGAGAGGGGGGGAAATCTAGGACTGGGGGTGAGCTGGGGTCACCCTGCAATATAACCTAGTGTGGTAAGAGCAAGGTGTGGCTGGCTGAAGCACGCACGCATGCACACACACCTGGGATGCTGGAGGCTGTTGGTGAGCAGTCTAGGCTGGAGGCTACAGCAGCAAGCTTAGGTGCTGGAACTAGGGGTGCAGAAGCACTCCCTGGCAATGAAGTGGTTTCCATCAGACACAGGGTTTACAGTTTGGTTCAATGGCTCTCCGCTCCCCCACTATACAAATTGTTCCAGCCCCCTTGGCAGCAAGGCATTGTAAAGGGCACCCCAAGTTACAGGGCTGGCGGTCACACAGTTACTTATTAGTCTGGATTGTACCTTTGGTATGTCACACAGCTAATGTGGGGTTATCAGAGGGTAAGGTGGGACAGAACATTCTCCTCCATCTGTGAGAGTGAGCCTCAAACATGGGAGAGATCATTAAAGTGCTGGGGGAAGGGGAGTTTATTGGAGAGCCCTAGATGGAATAGCCCATTCTCCTCCGTGGTGGGGGAGGAGGTGCTGGGGAAGTGGACTAGGAGAAGGTGGGAACAGTTGTGGGGAGGGGCTTCTGGTTATTTAGGATCACACCGCTAGCACTAAAAAGGGGATTATCTGGACACAACAGCCATATCCTTCCCACCTAACTCTGAAGAGGTGAGAACAAAAGAGGAGTCACGCCAGTAGGCCCTACATTAGAGTCAAGGGTAGGACCATTGGCCTTCCATCAGGGTACAGGTAGTGTCACCGGGCCACTCCCTTAGAGTTAATGACAGCCCCACTAGGAGGGATTACTGAATGAGGGCCAGGCCTTGCTGGCTGTTACCTTCATTGCCGTGTGGAGGAGTTTCCCCACGTTGGCGTAGCAGCCATTGGCCTGCTGGTTCCCTGCTATCCACTTCAGAGCATCCTCAACGTTCTTGTCATCTAGGAAGATGTGCTGCTTGGCTTGAATGAAGCATTTGGTCACGAATGCGGTCAGCCTGGGGGAGAGGAGGAGTAGAAGTCAGTGAGAGGAGGGAGAGTCAGTGCCAGGGCGGGTGGGTATGCATAGTGGGATACTGACAGAGTGAGGGCTGCGGGGGGGGGGGGGTGCTGGGTGTCGACAAAGGTAGTACCAGCATTGTGGGAGGCAATTCATTACTGTACTATTGAGAAAGGCTAAGTATTCACCATGTGTTGCCTTCTCCATCGCTCTCTCCAAAGGCACTGTAGGAACCATCTCTGTGTTTGTATTGAAGTTGCCTCTGGTACCCTGAGCAGGAGAGAAAGACAACTGGAGACATCTGAGTCAAAAATCACCCAGGCCTGCCCCTTCCACAGAAACTGACCAGCCATGGAACTGGCTCACTCAGAACCAGGGGAAAGCCACAGAGTTCACAGTACCTCTCCTGCCCCAATCCATCTGCCCACTGTTTGGGGACATCTACTGAGCACAGAGGCTGAGATGGACACCATGCATTAGGGAGAGGAGCAAGAAAACTAACTGACCTGTTTGCAGGAAACCCACAGCTCTTGTCTTCAACTCCTCACTCAGCTGCCCTGTCTTCTCCAAATACTGCAGCACGTAGATGATGGGGGCGAACAGCACCATGTTCTGCTCTCCGCAGCCGCTGGGCATCTGCACCAGCTGGTCCAGGTTCTGCAGCGCCGTCCCCATGATGTCACCTGGATAAACAAACATATGTGGACAATGGTGATCCCCCTGAACTGTGCATCTATGTCTGATTAAATATAGTCCCGTCCCCTCCCCATATCAGGCTGCTCCACACATTATACCATTACTCAACCCATAACACTGCCGGCCTGACACCTCTCCAACCCCACACTTGCAGCCACCCAACCGTTCACACCTCTCCTGCGCCACCCTGTCTGCATCCTCCTACTCCATGCTTCCTTCTGCATCTGTCTACACCCACTCACCCCGTACGTCCCTTCCCACTGCTTACACCCATCCCACCATCAGCCTGTCCACTTATGAACCCTCCCATCCATACACCCATCCAAAGGCACAAATTGTACATACCTACCTGTGTACAAGCCCTCATTCCTCCATACACTCCTGCTACATCATTTGCCCTTCATCAGCACTCTATCCCCCTTTTCCCCCCACACATGCCATCAACCCATGCAGCCACCAAAACACGTCCAGTCTGCTTACACCCTCATACATGCCCCCCACCCTGCTCTACACTAAATCACTCGCCAGACTGATTCCTTACCCAGCACGGACACTTGGGCCCTGGCTGAATCCGGCACCATGTCCTCAGGGAGCTGCAGGGAGACTGAGTCTGAGGCAGAATTCCCTGACAATTATAACAGAGAAAGGAGTGAGCCAACACAGGAGAGGGTGTAAGAGAGACCCCCACAGCTAGAAACACAATAAGCCACTCTCAGCAGTAATGGATCTCCAAGACACTGAGAGCTCCTGGCATATGGACCAACAACTCCAGCAGCAGCAGGAAGAGAGGAAGGAGGGCAAGTCCTTATGGGCACATACTGACTTTCAAGTGTCCATTCCAAGAAGAATGAGGACAAGACACAAGAATCGTTTTTTCACCTCCTCTCAGGGTCTTTGCATCCAGAATCCACTGCAGGAGGCAGCAATTGCAGGGGGTAGACACACATTCAGGAAGTACAGGTCCTCATGCATATATTCCAACGGGAAAAATCCCACCTTTCTATTCCCTGCTGGAATCACAGGGCTCAGTAAGCCAAAGACCTACCCTCTTGGTAAGTGCTGTCCAGCCAGTGCTCTCCCTCCCCATATGTCTATGCATAGGTGACACTCTCTCTCCCCAAACCCAAGAGAACGTGGCCACTGTGATCCCTTCTCATGGTCCAATGCAACCCATACCTTCTGGGCAGAGCAGGGAACTGTGAGACTTCTCCATCAGGACGCCCTCCGGCTGTCAGTAGAAACACAGAGAAACTGATTAAAGACAACACATGTCCAGTCTTCAGATTCATGTGACCTCATGACTTTGGGCTGCATGCTCTGGGGCATCAAGTCACAGAGCAAGAAGTGATACAAGGGTGAAGAGAGAGGGGCAGAGGCCACTCCTGGACTCCTTAAGTCAACTCTGGGCACTTTGGGACCACAGTGGTCACATCTTGGAACAAGGAAGGAATATGCTATATGGTATATGGCTCTGCCTTGGAATAATGGGTTCAGTCCTTGTCCCAGACACCTCAGAGCCAGAAAGAGGCCAATCAACTGGAGGGAATTCAGAAGAGGGCTACAAATGATTAAGGGGCTCTAGATTGACTGATTTAAGAGGGAAGATTAAATGAACTGGATCTATATAACTCAGCCAAATGGCAGCTGAGGATGGATAGCCACTTGTCAATGGTTGTGAGAGATATAAACTCCAACACAGAAGAGGAACTGGGGATGAGAGGACAAATAAGAATATAGAATAACATTGAGCACAAGGTGCATGTTTCTGGCTGGATGCTGAGGAAACATTTCCTAACAGGGAGAGATCTAGTGGGATGTGGAAGGGTCTCCCCAAGGGATGGGGTGGAACAGCCATTGCTCAGGACATGTAAAACTAGACTGGGCAAAACCCTGGAGAACAGACTGTAGGAAACCATCCTGCACTGGTCCCAGGGGAACGGAAATGGGACCTAGTAGAGCTTTCTCCAACTCTGAGGCTGTGTCTATACTGGATGTACTACGGCGGAGAGCTCTCCCGTCGGCTTAATTACTCCACCTTCTATGAGAGGCAGTAGCTGTGCTGGAGAAAGAAGCTCGCCTGCCGACATAGCGCAGTCTATGCCGGCACTTAGGTGGGTAGAACCTATGTCATTTGGGGGTGTGGATTATTCACACCGTGAGCGACATAAATTACACCAAAGTTCTAGAATTCAGACCTCGTCTACACTAGAAGTCTATGAAATTCAGCTCAGCAGATGGATGGAACTGCTGGCAAAAGCATTGGTGATAACAGTGTGGTATCTTCTTGTTCCGCCCCCCCCCCTCCCCGTTCTCTGGATCGGCAGGCTTACCCGGACGAGGAGAGGCTTGATCAAGGTGTCACTGCGGCCCTTATTTGGCACCGTCACTTTCCTACCACCACAGAGCTCTCTGCTGGGCAGTGCCACTGTGGTGACGGTGAAGTTCACCTCACCTGGCAAAGAAAAAAAAAGAAAAAAATAATAAGCTCTTCAGAGCTTCCATTTTAAACCTGCCCATCCAGGCAAAATGGTTCAGTGCACAGAAAACTGATGACATCTGTAGTTCTGTGCAAGCCAAGACAATTATGTGAGAGGAACGCGCTCTCACACCTAAGGGTTCAAAGTGATCTGTATTTCCCAACTCCAGGCACGGTTTTGCACTAACAGTCCTGTGCACTATGAGAACCGGGGTATTGGACCATCATATTCTGAAATATCAGGGATAACAATGGAGTTCTACAGGTGGGACAGTGGTTTCATCCAGTATGGCAGGAGGATACTGGGTTAATTAGATGTCTGGTCTAGGTACAACAGCAAGGTGGGAATCTGATTATTTGGAGCAATGGTCTGAGCTGGTACAGCAATTCCTGTGTTCTCTCCCCTTCTTCTCTGCTCTCCTTACCCAGTTTGGTGGCTGTTACGTTCCAGTAATAGGTCCTGGCTTCATCAGCACACAGACAGCTGGTGTATTCACAGCCCTTATATGACTTCACCTGGTACTCCTCTGACTTGGCCAGCATAATCTGGATCTGCACAAGAGATAGGGAAAGGGTTGAGCAGTCAGGGACATGAGTGGAAAATTAGACAGAGAAGCAGCACAGGGGCAAGGGAGAAAATGGGGGACAGACTTGAGCTTACTAAAATTCCCTATAAAAGAAACTGAGTAACAGGTGAAAAGTACTGGATCAGCAGAGCAAGCTCCACACACAAACAAACAAACACAGAGCAAGCAATCCAATCCCATGGATGTATCTAAGCACCATTCTGGCTTCCTGGTAACGGAGGTAAAACCTGCTCTGGATCTCATGGGATTAGCTCCCATTCCCTGGGGAATATGTAAGAGTAAAATCCACGTGGCTCTCTTGATACTGATTCGGGATCCATTGTGGGCAGGGGGAAGGATTTACAGGCACGCAGGTAAAGCCTGACCCAGATGAGGCTAACCGGAGTGTGAGTGCTTCCTCACCCTTATGCACTGTTTCAGGTAGTTGAAGACAGTGGCAGTCAGTGTAAATGATTCCCCGCGGATCACAGAGTAGGGTAAGGTCAGGTCCACGAAGAAAGGTTTGAAGGCCGTCAGCCCCACTGTAGGTGAGATCCCAAAGCCGCTGCTCTCCGAGGTACAGAACATGCTGGCTTTCCATTCCGTGATGGTGTCAGGGAGAGTGACTGGGACCTGCTTGTTACCTGAGCTTCTGCAGAGAAATCAGATCATGATATCGGGGAAGGGAGATCCCCAAGGGACAGGAAAAATTCTGACAATAACTAATGATACTATGATTATCTCCAGTCTCTCTCATCCCAGAATCTTATAGAGCTTTCCAGGCATTAATCCACCCAACACAGTGTAGGTCGTTATCCCCACATTACAAATGCAGAAACTGATGCACAGGGAGGGGAAGCGACTCACCCAAGGTCACCCAGTGAGTCAGTACCAGGAAAAGAACCCACAGATCCCTTCTTCTAACCCCTAGATCCCACAGCCTTTCCTAAAACCCAGCAGATTTGTTCTCTAGAATATGAAACATAGCCCAGTCTCAAAGGCCTGTGAGGTTTGGTTCAGAGAAGCACCTCCAAACACTGCCCGCACAAAGCCTTGCATTTCTCCCCACCATCCCTGGGATTAAACATCACTTACTCAATGGGATACAGCTCCCAGATCCAGGTCTCAGGGAAAAACTCACGGACTTGGGACTCTCTGGATTTCTCCACTGATGGCGGCTGAAACTCCGCTGTAGGGACACGTCCTGAATCCTCCATAATAGGGGGTGGCCTGGGTGCCCCTGGAAGTCAGACAATACCTGCTCTTTGGCTGCTTACTCACAGAAAAGGCTGGCACTGGGATAATAGAGTCCAGTAGGGGCAGTAGAGGAACTCAGGTGGAGATTAACCCTTTATTCCCAGACAGTAATTACATGGATTAAGAGAGCAGAAAGGAAATTTAATAGACCAGGACAATCAAATAAAAAGATAAGGAATTCCTTACCCATTATATTATGTTCCGTGTCATACCAGATGGGATAGGGACGACAATCCAGGGGTCTCTTTATTTTGCCATTTGATAAAATTTTCAGTCCCATCTCCTGTGTTAAATCAGAGATGAAAGAAACAAAATGTGAAAAAGGAAGGGTTTAACGTTTGCTTAGTGTCTCTGCCTGTGTGTCAATATAACTAGTCAACTGCATCACATTGTCCCCCCTGCTTGTCTCTGATCCCCATCTCTCCCCTCTTCCCTTGTCTCTCTCTGCACTGCTCTACAATAAGCTAGGACACCTTGGCAGGCATAGGCGCCAACTCCATGGGTGCTCCAGGGATCGAGCACCCACGGGGAAAAATTTGTGGGTGCTCTGCACCCACCGGCAGCCAAGCTCCCCTCAGCCCCCACCCCACTTCCTCCTCCCCCCCGCCCCAAGTGCACCGTGTCCCCACTCCTCTGCCTACCTCACAGTGTTTTCCACCCAGTCGCCGCCAAACAGTTGTTTGGCAGCGTTAGCACGCTCCAGGGAGGGAGGGAGGAGCGGGAACATGGCACGCTCAGGGGAGGATGTGGGGAAGAGGCGGGGCCAGGGCAGGGATTTGGGGAAGGAGTTGGAATAGGGTCAGGGAGGGGGCGGAGACTTTGGGGAAGGGGTTGGAATGGGGCGAGGAAGAGGTGGAATGGGGGCGGGGGGCGCGTCAAGCACCCACAGGAAAGGGGGGAAGTCGGCGCCTATGTTGGCAGGCACACTGATTTTGTGAGCTCCTCGGTCATCTCGCTCGTCCCTGCCTGGGTCAGCAGCAGCAGCAGAATTGCTGTTAACCAGTTTGGCTGACCAAGACACAGTAGTGCCTTTACCCTAGCACAGCCATGATTGTATTGTGGAACTCATGAGGCAACAATTCTATTCCACCCAGCTATAAATCTGGTGATTTTCAAGAGTTCAGCTTCAACAGCTCTTGTTTAATCTAGCTCTGAGTTCAGGGAGAGTGAAAAACTCCACACACATACTCATCTCTTTTTGCAACTGAATGACTCAAAACTCACCACATACCGATCCCAGCTGCTTTTACTCAGAGACTTTTAGATTCAAACACAACCCTAAGTGTCACTCCACTAACTTCAAGAGCAATGTGCCAGGGATTAATTTGACGCATACACCTAGGACAAAATGTGGCCCCTGCAGATCTTTATTACTGCTGATGATGCATGAGAAGGAAAGAACCAGCCTGACTCTGCTTTTATTTCTACATAGAGTAAAACTGTTTTGGAGTCACAGAGATGGAACGACAGGGTGAAATTTTAATAGAGACAACATACAGAGCAGACCTGCACTTCCGGGTACATTGCTGTATCTAATATAGTTCTCTTGAGCCCCGTCTCTCAGAATGGAGGCTATGCATCTTCTCCTCACAGTAAGGAGAGGCTGGTGATGAGTATAAAGGCACGCACCTTTAGGAAGCTAAAGAAGTCAGCCCCTTGGTCAAACCAAGGTCTCGGTATGATGGAACGTCTTCTGCGGTCTACTGGCACAGGGTTGAGGACAGGCACTGGAAATGGCCTTGTTATATAGCAGTCATCGTACTCATCAACTTGATAGGGGTAACCTCCATTTGAGAAATCGAGCATCCCATACACCTGCAGAACCACACATGGGCCCAAGGAAACAAAGGGCTGATAGCAAAGACAGAGACACAGACACCTGCCATTCATCCCTCACCCCAGCTCCTACCGCCAACCCCCTCCCACACACAGATGCCCCCCTTTCACTCCAGAGCCCCAGCTTCCACCATTTCTCCATCATTCTGCCCCATCCCGTCACAGTGAGCCACTCACACTGCTGTTGGAGAGCTCCCTCTCTGGCCTCAGGAGTAGGACGCTCTGGTCCACAGCTCGGATGGCACACAGCGAGTTGGGAGCTGCCCTCAGCTGGAGATTCACAGTTGCCCCTGGCAGGTCCTGCTGCTGCGAGAACTCCAGGTTGACCTGGACAGATGGATCCCAAGATGGGGAGAGCCCGTAACATGGGAGCAAAGAGGTAGGAAAGAGGAAGGGCAAGAAAAGGGATGAATTAGAGAAAAATGATTCCTCTGTTCAGGGGAAAGATAAGGGTTTAGTCGTGGCTCCCCTCAGCACCTAAGCTGCATTTTCTGTTGGCGCACATGCCATGCACTGAAATGGCTTAATCTCTATGGTACCCACCACCCCTCTTCCTGCACCTGTGCCAACCCCAGCCTCCTCAAGCCGGAGCCTCACCTCGTTCTTGAAGCACATGGAGACTGTGAACTGGACTTTGTCAGCAACGACTCCCCCATCAGGGAACATGGCATAAACCACCAAAGAGGGGTTAGGAGCAAAGTGGGAGGTGAAGGTGAGAGGGATGGAGAAAGAGCCCATCAGCCCTGGGAGGAGAGAGAAGGAGGAGAAATTCTGTCAGTAGATCTAATATGGTCTCCTCCTGCCCATCTCAGCCCCTTCCACCCCTCTCCATGCTGCCTCCTTCAGGGCTAGATTTGTCACTAGAGCCCATCACTGGAGGGGTTTTACTCCCCCATTTTAGGAGAGGAGGCTGTGGATTTACCACCATTCTTCTTGATGTCGACACGTTTCTGACCATCCCCGATGAGCTTCTGCTTCCCCACCACCTAGGGAAGGAGAAGGAGAGAGATCTTAGAAGGTGTTCAGGTCAGGTACCTTCTCCCATCTCCTCTCATGTCCCCCCCAAACACCACAGATCAAAGGTTACCAACCATAGGACGGGTGAAGTCACATGGGGGACACTAGACCTGAGAGAGGGAGGGTTTCAGACAGGAAAGGAGGCAGGTTGTCGGAGGGTTTTGACAGCAGGGAAGGGGCTTGCATGTCCAGGGAACAGAGAGAAGAGGCCTGTCCTATGGGGACTGCACATTTTGTAGGGCGAGGGAGACTGGGGATGGTTTCTAGCAGTGGGGAGGTGAGCTGCACTGGGCATGCTGGTTCAGGAACTAACAGGAGGGAAAGGCAGATCATGGGGAAGTGTCCTAGGAGATTGCGAAAGGGGGTTCATATGGGAGGGCATGTCCAGACACAGGGAAGGGAATCCAGCACTGCAAGAGGCATATCAGGTAGCAACAGCATATCTGGGGAGATTGGGATGGCTTCTAGAAGGAAGGAAGGTGGGTCCACCAGGAGCAGATGTTTGTGAGGGTGAGGGCAAGATTTGGTGGGGAGCAGGCAAAGAGGAGTGAACGTGAGTAGAGAATTGCAAAGAAGGTATGAGGGGGGTTCGCTGTCCTGTTGCAGGGGAGAGGGAGGGATCAGCAGCTAGGAGGGGCTGGGCTGTCTGGAGGAGCTGTGAGAGGGGAGGGCAGAACAAGAGAAGAGGAGTTGAAGGAAAAGCATGTGCCTCTTGGTGTTTCAAGGGTTAAGTCACAACTGATGAGAGCTACAGCCATGCATATCTTCCCCCTGCTCCCCAAGACCCTTCCTTGGAACGTTCCACAAGATCTGTCCCCCGTCCCCTAGCCTGCCTGGGCACTCACATAGAAGGAGAAGAGGATTTCTCTGGCTTTGCCTCCCAGATCTATTCGATCAATGCTGTAATCCACCCGGACCACCTGCTTCTGGCCGCAGGGCAGCACCCCTGGCAGCCGCTGGATTTTGAGGTAGCTCTTGGTGGTGCTGTAGTATGGCTTCAGGTGGAGGAAAGCATTCAGGTAATACTGACTGATCCTTGTAGAGTCAGATACCAGATCCGGAAGCCTGAACCTTCCCTGGAAGAGAAATAAAGATAATAATTATGACTGCATTTCTCCAGAGCGCTGTAAATGTTCTGGCCAGAACATGTGTATATACACTGCCCTCTGCTGGATGGAATCAGTACAGCTCAATCAGAAGCTGTAATACTTGTACATCTAAACAGGATTTTCCTCTGGTTTAAGCACTAGAGGCCAGTGCTTTAAGAGCAGAAGGGCCCCCGTTCTGTTCTGGGGCCTTCACGCATCTGTTAAAATCCCACAGTGCTTTACACCAAGTGGACTGGATTCCAAAAGACATGATTGTATTAGACATGAAAAGGGACCATACGCATCTAAAATGGCATGTATTATCATTACACATTATAATATAGCAGGGGTGGCCAACCTGTGGCTCCGGAGCCGCATGCGGCTCTTCAGAGGTTAATAATCGACTCCTTACCTAGGCACCGATTCCAGGGCTGAAGCTATAGATGCTAACTTTCCAGTGTGCTGGGGGGTGCTCACTGCTCAACCCCCTGCTCTGCTCCAAGCCCTGCCCCCACTCCACCCCTTCCCCCAAGGCCCCTGCCCCTTCCCCTGAGCCTGCCATACCCTCACTCCTCTCCCCTCCCCGCCATAGCCTCCTGCGCAGGTGAAACAGCTGACTGTGGTGGGTGGGGGGGGGAGGGGGCAGTAGGTGCTGATTGGTGGGGGCTGCCAGCAGGCAGGAGGCACTGGGGAGCAGATGGGGGGCTGCTGATGTATTATTGTGGCTCTGGCTCTTAGGCTCAGGTTGGCCACCCCTGTAATATATAATTGTTATCTATGTAAGGGGACTGTTGCCCCCTTACTAACATTCAGTGGGGGTGTTTTAGTTGCTAGCTCCCAGTACTAAAAAGGGGGAAGGGTTGATGGGAATCAGGACCCTGAGGCTGACAGCCCCCAGGAACAATGGGGAGAGGCCAATGCTCCAGGTCAGTCTGAATGACAGGGCGGGTAGGCTAATCAGGGAGTCAGGAGGCCAGGGAGGTCCCATCCTCCGTGTGAGCTGGATTTGCCTGGGTCAGACAGAGTGGGGCCAAGCTAAGGAGAAAGCAGGGGCCTGAGCTGAGCTGGGGAACGGAATTGTGCCAGACCCAGAGGGACCAGAAAAGCAGGCCAGAGAGAGCAGACCCTGTCCTGGGAGCAGAGCTGCAGCCCCAAAGCCAGAGGCACAGCACAGACAGAGCAGACCTGTCCTGGGAGCAGAGCTGCAGCAACCGGAGCCAGAGGGGCCAGAAAAGCAGCCCACGAAGCAGGTCAGTGCTGGGAGCAGAGTCACAGAAGCAGCCTGTATAGCAGACCTGTCCTGGGAGCAGAGCTGCAGCAACCAGAGGCAGAGGGGCCAAAGAAGCAGCCCAGGGAGCTGGAGGCAGAGCAGCAGAGACAGAGTGGTGGAGCTGGGGCTGGAGCAGTCTGGAGCTGGGTGCGGTGAGTAGCTGGGGAGAGTGAGGGGGACCCTGGGCAGCAGGCCCAGCACAGGGAGACGCTTCAGCCAAGGGGCTCTGCAGGCCAGGCTTGGATCGTAACCCCGACAGGGCGGGGGTGACACTGGGAAGAAGGGTCCTACCACTTAGAGCCTGAGAGCGTGTGGCCACCACCAGAGCAAGTGTCCAATCCACTGCATCCCTGCAGCACAGCCAGGGCCTGAGAAGAAGGCCTGGGACTTACAAGGAACAGACTGTGAACTGTCCTGACATTCCAGAGACACTGTTTGTGATGTTCCCTGCCACAGAGCGGGTTGATGTGTTTCCTTTCACCTTTCCCATTTTTCCATATTCTTTTTAAAATTAATTGTTGATTAAATAACTTGCATTTGCTTTAACTTGTATGTAATGCTCAGTGGATCAGAGAAGTGCCCAGTACAGAGTACCCGGGAGTGGGGACACCCTAGCCCCTGTCCTAGGTGACTGCAGCAGGGTTGGGGGTTGAGCCCCCCAGGAATCCTGGGCCCAGCCTTGTTGGGGTTACGAGGACTCTGCCAGACAGGAGAGTGGAAGGGGAGTCCTCAAGGGCAGAGAAGCCACTGGGTAAAGGAAGAGGGAGTGAGGACTCAGATCCTTTCACTAGCCCACTTCACCAGGGTAGTGCAGAAGCCAGGAAAGTTCCCCACAAAAGCGGGACTATTCCCCTGCTTACATCTATAACAAATGTATGTAATTTATAGATACAAAATGGCTTATAGCCTGAAGCCAATCAACTGCCTGGAATTATGAAGAAACCTCCACAGTGGACAGTTAGTGCATAGCTGTCTGTTACTGAGTAGCAGCCGTGTTAGTCTGTATTCGCAAAAAGAAAAGGAGTACTTGTGGCACCTTAGAGACTAACCAATTTATTTGAGCATAAGCTTTCGTGAGCTACAGCTCACTTCATCGGATGCATAAAGTGGAAAATACAGTGAGGAGATTTATATACACACAGACCATGAAAAAATGGGTGTTTATCATACACATTGTAAGGAGAGGTTTCAGAGGAACAGCCGTGTTAGTCTGTATTCGCAAAAAGAAAAGGAGTACTTGTGGCACCTTAGAGACTAACCAATTTATTTGAGCATGAGCTTTCGTGAGCTACAGCTCACTTCATCAGATGTATACATCTGATGAAGTGAGCTGTAGCTCACGAAAGCTCATGCTCAAATAAATTGGTTAGTCTCTAAGGTGCCACAAGTACTCCTTTTCTGTCTGTTACTGGATTTCTTGCTTCCACTCAAGTGTGTGGTGTTAGCCACTGTCGCAAACAGGATACTGGACTAGATGGTGAATCACAGCACTGATCTGGTTTGGAAAGTCCCCTGTCCTCCATGTATCCACTTAGGCACTTATCAGATGTGTGAGATATGCCAATAAGAAAATTTAGCAGGGAGCAGACTAGCTTACTGGATGTCTAAAAACATGGATGTCTATCAACAGACAACTGGCTTCAACAGGAGCCATTAATCCTCACTGCTGGCATTTGTTTATCTGTAGATGGGGGGAGAGACCTAACAAGGCCAGTTTTCAGTGCACAGAGGTAGTTCTTATCTGAGGAAAATTCAGCAGTATCTTTGATTACACTTAGAGCAGGTCCTTAGGCTGGATGTTAGATGACCAGACAGGAATCTTTGAAAAACTGGGCTTTTTATATCCTAGAGTCACTCACCCACTATTGAAATGTAGCTGCCTGTGGGAAGGAGGGAGCCATTCTGCACCAGCAGCACTATACAACATGACCACAGGAGGGGAAGGGAATAAAGTCTCCTCCACTTGAAACAGCAGACTTTAGGATGGCAGAATGTACAGAGTTAAGGGACTCACACCTACCTCAGATAAAGTCTGTATTATATGGCAACAGCCCTAGTGATGAGAATTACTCTCAGATCAAGGGCCTGAGAGATACAGAGAAGAGAATCTCTAGGGCCTACACAAAGGGGAATTGTGTGGAGCCTTGCTGGTGCCCGATGTCTTTGTCAGCTCCTGGATGCAGCACTGGAATGCACTGTTCTTAATTTGACTCACCTCCAGAGAGACCTCACTTCTATTCCACGTGGCTGTGTCCAAAGTGAAAGTAGCCACCCCGGTGCTATCGGTGGTGAGATTTTGGTGGGACTGGGTGTTCCCAGCATTAATAACCAAGAAAACGGGCTGCTTCTTCAGTATGGAGCCTTCTCGGTCCAGGGCTTTGATCTGCAGGGAGAAGCAGGGAGAGAATCATGCACACATTCAACCAGCAAAATCTGCTCTTGAGGAGAGACTGACCGGAATGGGGAATCTCTATGAGAGACACTCAGTGGGGCCGAGAAAGCTCAGAGCAGGCTGGCCCCTTCTAAAGAGAGGGGTAGGGCTGAGAACTAGACAGAGGTAATCTCTAGGGAAAATTAAAAATGGGAATTTCTCTGAGATGATGCCACAGGCGCCCGTGTTTTTTTCACCTGCTAGAGGCATTATGTAAAGCACCGTACTTCGGCTGCCCTGGAAGACCACTCAGCAGCTCCACCCCATATTGATTTTACCTTCCCGCTGTAGGGGTACCCCGGGTGGTAGTAATTGTCTGAATCCTCAAAGCTCATTGACCCAGCTTTCTCAGACATAAACGCAACATGGGTAGCGTTTGCCTCCACGCCTATGGGAGAAAGACAAGATGCACAGTGAGCCAATGAACACACGCAGTGGTTTGCCATACTCTGCCACATCAGGTTACAACAGAAACGTTTTGGGACCACCCCTCCCATCTAGCCATAAAGCAAGGGAGGAAGGCCATGACCCCCCCCACCCCGACCTGTTTGCGATCTCCATGTTGACAACCTGTGAATGAGCACCATGGCTAAAGACTCCACTCTGATTGGCAGAACAGTTTCCTGCCTGCTGGTGACCAACCCACTTGTTACAAAAGACAGTTTCAGGGTCCATTAGTGGCCAGTGGAACAGTACACAATCCGAACAGCGTATACGTAGTGGGAAACGGCCCAAGCTGTAGTGGACAATGGGGCAGGCCAAACATGTGCCCACACACACCACAAAAACACTAAGTGTTGGGGTCATTCAGTCCATTTCAGAGATCACTCTGGGTCAACATTTCCTTCTTTCAGCCCCACAAGAGCTATATTATAAGGAAGAGAGAAGCAATAAACACCCTCACTCTCACGCGCACACACACTACTTTGCAGATGGTAGGGTTTACCTGTTCCAGCTTCCACCAAAGTGGCTACCACATTTATACTGTGGCTGTACCGAGGGCTGACAAGGCTGAAGAATGCCAAGTCCACGGAGGCTGAGAAACAACCGGTTTTATCAGTCTGGAAAAGAGGCAATGAGAATTGCTGACACTTGCTGACCACATACTCAAGGAACAAGAGGAAAGGAACAGCCACCCTGTGATCTCGTCAGAGATCAGAAGCGAAGCAGTGGCAGGCTCTGTCAGAGCACAGAGGGGAGATATGCAAACACCGCAGGGAGTAGAGGAGCGTATGAGTCATCAGGAGGCACTACTGTCCCCAAGTCAGCAATACTAAGCTAAATGCTCCAGTGCGGTGCGAGGGATACTGTGCAGAAGTGCCCACTGCTCCTGGTTAGAATTTCTCCCTCTCTACCTCGTTCTTTTGCCCTGCCGTTCCTCTTTCCCTAGATGCTCCTACATCTCCATTAGATCATTTCCCAGTTCCCTCCTCACCTGGCCTGTGACATTCTGGCAGATGTCTGTGGGCTCTGACTCTGTCCTGTCCATGTACCAGGTATATGCTGTCCGACACAAAGAGACTTGGACTGTACCCTGGACAGGCTTTCCGTAGGTGTACCTGGCAGAGAAGGGAAACAGGGGAAAAAAACCATCTGCCACTGATGTTCTTAGTCCACTTCTGCCTTCTTCCTTTGCACCATGGTGTATGTGCCTGCTATTCCAGACCTGGGCTCCCCACACAGCTCTGCCAATGCCCCTCAGTCCTGCCCTGCAGCCCCCCTGCTATTCCAGTCCTTGGTTCCCCACACAGCTCTGCTGATAATACTCCTATTTCACACACACACACACACAAAAACACCCCCCCTTCCTACTCCATCCCTGCACTTTAACTGGGCGGGACACTTCATGGTTAATTTAAAAAAAAAAAAAAAGTGTTCTGGGGAAGCTGCAGAATGTATAGACTTCCACATGGAAGAAGAGTTGAGAGCCACTGTAAATGCTTTCACCTTTTCCCTGAAAATCCTTACTACAACTCAGACCCCCTGAGAAACCCAAAGGTAATCCCTTACATCCACTGAGCAAGATGAGCCAATACATTTGCCCGTTAACTGTGCCCTCCCATCGCAAGAGCCCTGTGAAACATACTTGCCACAAACTTTCAGTGGAAAAGATGTATCCGATGTGAAGATCCAAGTTGGCTCAGTCACAACCACTTTGAATTTGGGCAGCACTGGGGAGGGAGAAATTGGATGCAAGAAGTTAAGAAAGGAACATGGTTGGCTCACTGTCACCCAGCTCAGGGAGCAGTGTGTATCTGCGTGTTGTGGGGGTGCAGCACGCCCAGAGACAGAATTCCCCTGGAGAGAAGGGCGGGGGGGGCGTCCTCTCTAAGGCAAGCGTTCACTTGCAGAGTCAGAATCAGGGTTGGATAGGGAGAGGGCTTCCCCTGGGACTGTCAGAGAGTGGAGTGATACTGCTGCCTCCTGGACTGCATGCTGCGCTCCCCTCCGTACCGTACTCCTCCACGCTGAAGGTGCTGTAGGCCTTCCCACTGTCCACAGTGATGGTGTACGTTCCCAGGGGCGGTTCGGCTGCCAGCTGGAAGGACAACTGCACGATGCCTCGCACTGGTTTCACATTAAGCCACTGGCCAATCCGGTTATTCTCAGGATCCTGATGCCATGGGCAGAAACAGGATTAAAATGGAGCCCGTTTTCCCTGTTTTACTCCCCATGCAGCCCAGTCCTTGGGTGGACAGGGGCTCGGAGTTCTACAGAGGCTGGGCCCAGCACCCCCTGTAGCTTGGTGGTGCTCTGCATGACCATGCAGGAGACCAGTGTTCCAGGCCCGGTCTCTTGCTCTTCAGGGGCCAGCACAGGCTGCGAGCGCTCCAGAGGCTGAACTCTGTGCCCTAGGGGTAGTGCCCTGCACTGCTGGGCGGGAGACCTGGCTCCCATTCCCTGGCTTGGGCTCATGCTCCTGGAGCTGGCAGGGGCTAGACTTGCTGCTGACAGTTGGCTCGGGGCGCCCTAGAGTTCGCACTGTTCTTCGCTGTTGGTGACCTGAGGCTCTCCAAGGGCTGGTAGGGACTGAGGACGGTGCGGAGGCTGGGCTAGACAACCCCAGCAGATTAGCGCTCTGCACTGCAGGGTGGGAGAGGGAGGCTGGATTGTCAGCCCCCAGTTTGGGAATTCCCCCTGGGCAGCAGGAGCCGCTGCTGGAGAAGCCAGGATCCCCCAGGAGCCGTTTCCCTAGAGATTAGCAATCTCTGCCGCTGTGCGGGAGACCCGGTTTCTAGTCTGTCGGCACTGGTGGGAAGATTGGAATAGAGAGGGGGGTCCAGTCTGGCACCCCCTGCAGGTTGCTACTGTGTATTGCCGCGCAGAAAACCACAGTTCCAATGGTTGCTTCTCACAGCCAAGAGCTGCAGGAACAGGGCCAGCTGCCCTCCAGGGGTGGGTGCTTAGGGCTGCCATGCAGGAGACCTGAGTGAGTCACAGTCTTGCTTGTGTGTGAGTGTGAAGGGAAAGGAATGGAAAACAGAGGCATCTCAGTATGCATATGGGGGCCACTGACCTTCAGCTCCACCAGCAGATACTGAAAGAGAAAACCAGAGAGAATTTCCATTAGCGATCTCTGTACTATTGCAGGGAACAGAACCTGCTGCATGGGCTGGGCCCTCCTCCACCCTGAGAGCTGAGGCCAGATCCAGCCCTACTCTTAACTCCATCAGATTGTGCCCAGGGGCCTGGGCATTCACAACAGGAGCATCCGAGTTCCAGCCCTGCTGTTGCCATGAACTTCTGAGTTACCACAGTGTGCAACGGTGTTATAGTAACAATAGGACCCTCCAAGCATAGGCACGAACTATGTGGGTGCTCCGGGGTGGAGCATCCATGGGAAAAAAAACAACAGTGGGTGCTCAGCACCCACCGGCAGCCCCCCGATCAGCTCCTCCCTGCCCAGTGCCTCCTGCCTGCTGGTGGCCCTGCCAATCAGTGCCTCCCCCCCCCTCCCCCCAGCACCTCTCTCACGCCACTGATCAGCTGTTCAGCGGCATGCAGAAGGCGCTGGGGCCGGGGAGGAGAAAAGAGCAAGGGCGGGACACGCTCAGGGGAGGGGTGGAACAGGGCAGGAAGAGGCAGGGCTGGGGTGGGAAGAAGCCTGGGGCAGTGTGGGGTGCTGGCACATTAGAAAGCGAGTGGCTGTGCCTCCCAGCAATGTGAGCTCAGATCAACCCTTCTTGTTCCTTACAAGGCTTGAAAATATGCAGCTAATGATCCCCACCCACTTTTCAAAACTTCCAAAGTTGCCTCAACACCTCCCACAGCAGAGGCTGCAGGTGGAAGAGTCCCATTTGGCAGCAACAGAGGAGCCTCGTGTGCCTTCCTCAGCTTGGTTGGCCGCTTTTCCCTGTTTTAGTTTAATGCTAATAGCTCTTTAACAATTTCCTAGGCAGCTTCAGGGAAAGTGGTTGGGTCACAGCTCAGAGCAGCTTCCCCTGTTCCCCCTCTGTGGTCCAGCAAGGGCACCTACCCTAGGCTTCCGGCTCCCTGGCTGTCACCTCTCTTGGGTGGAGACACTTCTTTCTCTCTTGCTCCTGACCAGGTTGTTTCCAGGATGAACAGTTCCCTTCCTACACTGTGATATCTCCAGCAAAATCAGACTGCCTAACCAGGCCTGTTTTACCTTCTCTTTAGAGCAGAGGTGGGCAAACTATGGCCTGCGGGACCGTCCTGCCCGGCCCCTGAGCTCCCGGCCGGGGAGGCTAGTCCCCAGCCCTCCCCTGCTGTTCCCCCTCCTCCACAGCCTCAGCGTGCTGCGCCACCGGTGCTCAGGCCTGCTGCTCCTGCCGGGCAGTGCGGTGACGTGGCTGGCTCAGACGTGGTAAGGGGGCAGGGAGTGGGAGGTCCCAGGGGGGGCAGTCAGGGGACAGGGAGCAAGGGGAAGTTGGATGGGGCACGGGTTCTGTGGAGGGCGGTCAGGGAACGGGGGGCCTGGATAGGGAGCGGGGGTGTGGATAGGTGTTGGAGAAGTCAGGGGACAGAGAGAAGGGGCGGTTGGAGAGGGGGTGGGGTTCCGGGGGGGGCAATTAGGGGTGGGGCTCCGGGAGGGGGCGGTCAGGGGATAAGGAGCAGGGGGGGTTGGATGCGTCGGGAATTCTGAGGGGGGCAGTCAGGGGGCGGGAAGTGGGAGGGGGCAGATAGGGGGTGGGGGTCAGGCTGTTTGGGGGAGCACAGCCTTCCGTACCTGGCCCTCCATATAGTTTTGCAACCCCGATGTGGCCCTCAGGCCAAAGAGTTTGCCCACCCCTGCTTTAGGGTGTAATTACTAGTTAATCTACTACACAGTTTTTGCTAAGCAAGCACATTTTATACTGAATGCCCTACAGAGAAAACATATTGAAAACCACGGAAAACCCTACCTGCATGTTAATAAACTAACCAGAGTTCACCCCCAACTCCAACAAGGGCTCTGGCAGGAGATCAGTAGCTTTTCCTGTAGTTTCAAGTTCCTAACACCCTTTGCTCAGCACAAGAACCCAGTCCTATGGGGGAGTTAGGGGACAAGAGCTGAGGAAGCATTGCTCTAACGCCCCTACTCTACTTGTGCTACAGTGACGACATCTTCATCATCTGGATCCATGGGAAGGAGGCCTTTGAGGAATTCCACCAGGATTTCAACGATTTCCACCCCACTACCAATCTCAGCATGGACCATTCCACACAAGAGATCCACTTCCTAGACACTACAGTGCAAATAAGCGATGGTCACATAACCACCACCCTATACTGGAAACTTACTGATTGCTATACTTACCTACATGCCTCCAGCTTTTATCCAGACCACATCACATGATCCATTGGCTACAGCCAAGCTCTAAGATACAACCGCATTTTCTCCAATCCCTCAGATGGAGGCAAACACCTACAGGATCTCTATCAAGCATTCTTAAAACTACAATACCCACCTGGTGAAGTGAAGAAACAGATTGACAGAGCCAGAAGGGTACCCAAAAGTCACCTACTGCAGGACAGGCCCAACAAAGAAAGTAACAGACCACCACTAGCTGTCACCTACAGCCCCCAACTAAAACCTCTCCAGTGCATCATCAAGGATCTACAACCTACCATGAAGGACGATCCCTCACTCTCACAGACCTTGGGAGACAGGCCAGTCCTCGCTTACAGACAGCCCCCCAACCTGAAGCAAATACTCACCAGCAACCACACACCACACAACAGAAACACTAACCCAGGAACCAAACCCTGCAACAAACCCCGTTGCCAACTCTGTCCACATATCTATTCAAGGGACACCATCATAGGACCTAACCACATCAGCCACACCATCAGGGGATCATTCACCTGCACATCTACCAATGCGATATATGAGCTCATGTGCCAGCAATGGTCCTCTGCCACGTACACTGGCCAAACCGGACAGTCTCTACGCAAAAGAATAAATGGACACAAATCTGACATCAAGAATTATAACATTTAAAACCAGTAGGAGAACACTTCAATCTCCCTGGACACTCAATAACAGACTTAAAAGTGGCAGTTCTTCAAAAAACTTCAAAAACAGACTCCAACGAGAAACTGCGGAACTGGAATTAATTTGCAAACTGGACACCATCAAATTAGGCCTGAATAAAGACTGGAAGTGGATGGGTCACTACAAAATCTAAATTTCCCCTGCTGATACTCACACCTTCTTGTTAACTGTTTGAAATGGGCCACCTTGATTACATTGGCCTCATTAGCATTACAAAAGTGATTTCTACCCCTTCTTGTCAACTGTTGAGAATAACCCACTTCCACCTTAATTGAATTGGCTCACTAGCACCGACTCCCCACTTGGTAAGGCAACTCCCATCTTTTCATATGCTGTGTATTTATACCTCTCTACTGTATGTCCCACTCCATGCATCTGATGAAGTGGGTTTTAGCCCACGAAAGCTTGTGCCCAAATAAATTTGTTAGTCTCTAAGGTGCCACAAGGACTCCTCGTTGTTTTTGCTGATACAGACTAACACAGCTACCACTCTGAAACAGGAAGGGAGTTTAAAGAAGGGAGCTGGGATTTCCCCTTTGGTTAAATTCAAACTCTTGCAGCTGCTGAGAGATCCCAGATTGGTACTCTGGAGGTATAAAGCCCTCTGCCCCCAGGGCAGAAGCAAAGAAAGGCTCTCCCCACACGCTACCTTCTATCTCCATCTCTCCTCTTCCCCTGCCACATTTCTCACCTTGTCATTCAGTGGGATGAAATTGCTGTTCAGAGTGACAATTCGAAACCTCACTGCAATGGGAAAAAAGAAATAAAATGCCTTTAGACTAACCTTCATGTGACAATCTAAGCCTATTTCCCCAATCCCGGCTGTATACACAGGTTCGAGGCATCATTTCAACATGTTCCCTGAAGCCACATAGTTTCTGAGGCATTAAGTATTTGAGGGCTTGACAGGCTTTGAAGACAAGGATGGGGGGCGGGAATATGTAGCAAGGAGCAAAAGAACTCAGGAGGTATTTTGGGGAAGTGCGGTGTGGAGGTGGGTCTAGCACTGGTTCTCAACCAGGGTCTATGACCAGGTTCCAGTGAGTCCACCAAGGACCAAGCTTCAGCCTCAGGTGTCAGGGCTCAGGGTCAAGCTCCAACTTCACGCGATGGGGCTCGAGGAGGGAGTGCCACCTCCACCCCCCGACTCACCTCAGTGGGCCACTCAGCCTGTCTGGATGGGGGGTGCAACCCAAAATTGCAGCATCACTGCAGAAGAGAGATCTCCCCCTGCCATCAGAAGGGGTTGCCTCACAACCACTGACTCCATGAGTAGGCAGCAGCTAGCCAAGGAGGCACACCACTCCTCTGCCCTGCTACATCAGCACTGCAGGGAGCACAGCCAATGGAAGGCAGAAATCGGGGGATGACCCTCTGGGCTCCCCCCCACATCACCTCTGGTTGGGGGTCTGCAGGTTTGTCTATTTAAGTTTAGGAGTCCCTGGGTTTAAAAAAAAAAAAAAGTTGAGAACCACTGGTCTGGTGTTTCCACTTCATCTGCTTTACGTGGTTCTGAAAAGATGAAGCTGAAAGGCAACAAGTGTTTTCTGCGTGAAATGGGACAAGTTTATTTTGGCTGTGTGGGTGGAACCTGTGAAACCTTTTAAGAAAAATAATCTGTTTGTCAGGGGTTGTGAAATGCGAGAGAAAAAAACCCTCTCCTTAAACAGGCCGTATCTCTGCCGATAGCTGCTCAGCTTCTCAGGAAGCTCCCTGGAAAGGGAGAATGCTAGACTAGTTGCACACACCAGCAGATACATTGGCATTGGCTTACTCACGCCAACATCTGTGAACGAACCCCTCTCCAGACATGTGTACATTTGCAAATTCACATATGCACACTGGTGCAGAAACACACACAGCCCTTCGGCTACCATGCACTCGCACACTTGCAGAGCTCTGCACACGCCAACCTCTCGGCATGAATAGATCTGCAGACATGTACTCACCTGAGGATAAACACGGCTTATGTACCAGCTTGTAGCCAAATACCTCGCCATATGCACCTGAAGTGTACACGTATACATCTGCAAACTCACATGCACCAAAAACCACTTGCCCATGCACACATACCGGCGAATATGAGTGCAAACAAACACATGCAAACACAACACAACAGTCTCATCTGCAAGTTGTGCTCATTTTCACTAATGCAAGGAAAAAACACTCACAACTGCACCTCTCTAGGAATATATGCACACACCCAATGACACATCTGCATGCATACACAGAGAAAGGAAATCCCTCAGGGCAGATCCCTTCTTACCCAATTGTCCAGGCATATAGATGGGCTTGTCAGTCTGCACAAAAGTGCTGTTGCTGGCCCTCTCGATCAGGACTTGTTTCTTCTCAACTATCTTGCTCCTGCTCCCACATCCAGACAGCTGAATGGTAGCAACTTCCTCAGTGCCCCCTGAAGGAGGTGGGACCTGGGGTACACAGGAAACAACGTTAGGAGAGTTAGGCACAATCCTTGGAGGAGGAAATTAATGATCACATTGCCCACTAGTGAGTAATCCACAGAGGAGATAAGGACCCTACTTCTGCGGCCAGCTGAGGGACTTCTCCTTTAGCTGAAGAGGTCTGTGTTCTTGGAGCCCCTTCAACTCCAAGAACACACACAAGAGTGTGACTTATATGGTAGTTGTGGCTGCTAGGTACTGCAAATGGATTTGTTACTGTGGAAGGGTCAAGAAGCTGGTGAAAGTGGGCTCCAGCGCTCTCCCCCCAAGTTATTGCTGGGTGAAGAGTATTTATCAAATCAAAGATGTGCTGAGTTAGGGCTTCACCAGTGCCATTAGCTGCACAGAATTGGCCTTGGTCATCGTTCAATGGACAGGACAATTACCAGCCTGTGGCTCCTTCACCAAGTATCAAAATGAACACACACCTAGAGCAGTACCAAATACTAGGGCACGTGCTGGGAGCCACCAGGCATGAGGTGGGAAGAGGAGGAAAACACAGAGAGAATCTATGGGCACTAATAATCAACACAATACCTACTTCATTACATGACCCAGGCAGCCCAGCTCCACCCTGCCAATGACATCAACATCACGTGCTGCCTTCCTCCCAGAAACCATTACACTTCAATTACTCTGTGTTAATGAGTGGGGGGGGATAAGAGATGGAGAGTAACAGCTCGCTTTTCAGTGATTGGCATAGCACAGAGCACAGTCTTGCACTACTGCAAACCAATACCATTTCTCTCTCTCTCTCTCTCTCGTTGTATTCATGTGTGTGTGGGGGGAAGGGGGTGTTAAAACAGAGCTGGCTCAATGGGTACGTGACCACAAACCCATTGCCCAGCTTCCTTATTTATCATGTACCACCACCCAGAGTTTGTTTATAATAAAACACTTTGCAGAACATGTGAATTGCAGTGGGAAGCGTCTAAGGGCTGTGACGTGTGTTGACATTGGCACAACATAGCTTGAGGCAGGAAGCGCTTCTTGCTACTGTGCCACAAAAACCTTTCCCAGGGGCCTTATTATTACTGGACTTGCTCATTAACCACACCTGTTAGTGCACGTGTGTGCACAGCCTGTCAGTGCACTACTCTGTACCACTAGTGAGGATCCTGGTTTCAGGCTTCTAGAACTGAATTCTGGGGCCTGTCTTTGGGCAAAAGGAGAACATATACACACGCATAAGAAAAGAATATGTTTTCATTTGCCTTTCTCATTGCCCTGCATACATGAAGTGGGTGTATATCAAGTGGGGTCCACTGGGATCAGTCCTGGGTCCGGTTCTCCTCAATATCTTCATTAATGATTTAGCTAATGGCATAGAGAGTACACTTATAGAGTTTGTGGACTATACCAATCCGGGAGGGGGTTGCAAGCGCTTTGGAGGATAGGATTAAAATTCAAAATGATCTGGACACATTGGAGAAATGGTCTGAAGTACTCCACTTAAGAAGGAACAATCAGTTGCAGACATCCGAAATGGGAAATGACTGCTTAGGAAGGAGTACTGCAGAAAGGGATCTGGTGGCCACACCGGATCACAAGCTAAATAGGAGTCAACAGTAACACTGTTGAAAAAAAAAAAAAAAAAAAAAAGCAAACATCATTCTGGGATGTATTAGCAGGAGTGTTGTGAGCAAGACACGAGAAGTAATTCTTCCGCTCTACTCTGCTCTTCTTATTAGGCCTCAACTGGAGTGGCACGGGACACAATACATTTCAGGAAAAATGTGGACAAATTGGAGGAAGTCCCAAGAAGAGCAACAAAAATGATTAAACGTCTAGAAAGCATGACCTATGAGAGAAGATTGAAAATATTGGGTTTGTTCAGTGTGGAGAAAGAAGACTGAGGGGGACATGATAACAGTTTACAAGTACATAAAAGGTTATAACAAGGAGGAAGGAGAAACATTGTCCTCGTTAACCTCTGAGGATAAGACAAGAGGCAATGGACTTAAATTGCATAAAGGGCGGTTTAGGTTGGACATTAGGAAAAACTTCTTAACTGTCAGGGTGGTTAAGCACTGGAACAAATTGCCAAAGGAGATTGTGGAATCTCCGTCACTGGAGATTTTTAAGAGCAGGTTAGACAAACACCTGTCAGGGATGGTCTAGAGAATACTTGGTCCTACCATGAGTGCAGGGGACTGGACTAGATGACCCCTCGAGTTCTCTTCCAGTCCTACGATTCTATACTTGTTACGTAAATTAAATTACCAACAAGACATGGTGTTTTCAGGACCCCTTATCATACCATTTTGCAGCCTAACAAACAGCTGCATACTTATGGTGGGCTTTTCAAGTTGCCACATAGCTGTGATCCAGAATCTCAGCCTTCCTTAAAAACATTAAGCCTCCAGCCCTCATGGTTGTGAAGAACACCTTCCAAACACGAACAGAGTTGCAAACAACCTTCTCATTTACCCAGCATCCCACTGCTTTTCCTCCCTCTCCTCCCTGCTTCCCCGTCACTGCAATGGAGTAAGTGAAGAATGACCAGAATTTACCTGCCTGCTCCTTTTTCTCTGGCTCCTACTCCCTCCCAGCAAACTAGACAAAGGCTCAACAGAGATGGCTTGGAGGTCTCAGCATAGGTGACATGAATGTACCCCTGTATTCACACCCTGCACACTATTGTAATAATCTTTGTATAAAGTATGCCTTGTAAAGTATTGTTTAAAACCCCGAATTACTGATCAGTATTGTCCTGATAAAATATGCGTGGCAATATTGTATATTAACGCCATACAGTGGAATCTTATAACTTATTAACACATGTTCCAAACTGTGGCTGGCAAACAACTATGTCTCAGACAAAGGAATGTGTGCTCTCCTTAATTTGCATTTAAGCAGTAAACAGAGTCAAGCAGGAAGGGACACAAAGGAAGCTCTAACAGGTGAAAGAAAAAAGCAGGGAACATCCTTCCCCCATAGACTTTTTGTCTCCTGGTAACCAGCTGGAAATGTTTTTCAAGAAAGAAACTGAAATTACAAAAAGGAGGGACAACACCCCAAGGCACCCCCATCTCTTTCCATTGCTTCATTGCACCTGAAGCGATAAACAACATAGCTGTTGGACTAGGGGGAGTGGTCCTGACCTCACAAGTTTGGTCAGTAAGACTGCTGAAAGCATGTGATGAAAAAACTTTGCTTTGATTTTAACGTAGTTTGTTAAGTTAGGCACCTGTTGCATTTTATCTTTCTTGTAACCATTTCTGACTTTTATGCCTCACAACTTGTACTCACTTAAAATCTCTCTCTATGTAATTAATTAACTTGTTTTATCTACTCCAGAATGTTTAAATTGAAGTGTTTTGGAAACTCCAGTTGGAGTGGCAAGTTGTGTGCATATTATTCCTTTTAAAGAAATAACAGACCTAATATAGCTTGTATAGTCCAGGAGAGAGCTGGGCAGTACACGACATACATTTCTGGGGGGAAACCTAAGACTGGGGGTGTGTTAGGGTTACCCTGCAGGGTCACCCCTTCCTGGGGATCTACAAGGCTGGTGAGAGCCAAAGTGTAACCCAAGTGTGGCTGGCAGGCTGCATACACACAGACACTCAGGGTGCAGCTTGTATGATGGAAGGCTCTTTCTGAATGACTCAGGTGGGAGCTACTGCTGCAAAGTATTGCAAAGCACCCAAGGTTGCAGAGGGCAGGGTTACGGAGCTGCACAGAAGTCTGGATTGTACTCTGATACGTCACAACAGGTATTTGAATACCAAGGCATGCCCTTCTATACCAGTCACACCAGTAAACATCTTCACACAGGTGCATTAGCCAAGCCAAGCAGTGAGGAAGCTCCACAAGCACACCCGCATCCAACCCCCATGATTTGAAAGTCCCGCAGACACTTACAGGGAAGCTGAAGCATTTGAGCTGTCTCCTCTCCCAGATGAACCCATCCACCAGCTTGTAGGTCTTGATCTTTGTCTCCAGGGTGATAGTGAGCAGCATGGAGCTCTTCACGTTACTCAAGTCCATGCAGACCTTCTCCATGGAGGGATAGCTCAGCCGTGCTGGCACCACAACCACGTAATTCCTTGAGCAGGGAGAGAGAAAGAACCAGAGGGAAGGATTTAACCGTGTGTGTTTCTTTTAAAACGTTCCCAGGGAATCAAGTTCTCTGACTGGCTGATAAACTGCACCAACCTAGCTGGCTGCTTGTGAACTTAAAGTTGCTTTATGCAGAAGCTTCCTTCCCTGGCAGGGGAGACAGGCTGAGTTTCTCTCCCCCACCATGCTCCCTCGGTTTCACAGGTGTCACCCCTTCCTGGGGATCTACAGGAGGTGGTGAGGTGCACCACAGCAAACACCTTCTGGCAGCCTCCACAGGGAGACACACCCATCCCTCATTGGGGGAGGCTTGGAAAATCTCTACTATCTCTAAAGGGGGGGGGGGGGTTTGAGGCTGCCTTTATGAGTCTTGGCTTTCCAATCAAAGCAGCCCTTTACCAGATTCTGTTTCCCTCTGTGACATCACAATAGTCTCCCTGACTACTGGTGGTAATGTTGCACTGCATGACAACATGCCTTATAGGGATGCTGTACCTTGGTCAGCTATCTCTGTGCAACCATCTTCCATTATCACAGTCCTTCTTAGTGAAGAAACACGAGGACTGGACAGAGGGAGCGATATGGGAAACCAAACATGAGGAAAACGATCTCCAGCTGGGACTCACTCCCACCCCCTGCAATTCTTTGCCTAAGAAATTACTGGTCCTTTGTGACTCCCTAACTATCTCCCTAGCAACAGCCAGTGGTATCACAGAGGATGATATCATCTCTTAAAGAGACAGATGGGGAGCGAGAGGGGATGGTGTCAATATGAAAATTGCACCTCCACTTTGGAGGTGTAAAGAACAAGGGAAGGGAGAGAAATGCCAGGAATCAAGGAGAAAGAGACCCCAGACCTGGTCTTATAACTCAACTGATTTCATCAGGGAGTCTCCACCCAGCACTGACACCAGACGTCTGACAGCTTTCTCTGTCCCCCACATGCTGAACCATAAAAAAAGCTCCAGCTTCTGCTCTCTCCTGCCTTGTCCGATCTTACTCCACTTAGGGGTCTTGGAAAACCTGCCTTGATTTCCCCACTCCCTACGGACTCCCTCACAGCATTCACAGCTGCTCATGCGCACCCCCAGCCACTGGTCCCTTCCTCCAACAAGCTGTCCCTCCTCCATCTACCTGTTCCCTCTCTCCAACCAAGTACAATTCCTGGTCCCTCATACCTAACCATATGCCTGCTTCCCTGACTGTCAATTAATATTCCCTCTTTCCCATCTGCCAACCATTATCATCACACCCACCCCTAACCATCACCCTCAAATATTTGTCCCAACCTCCTTGCTCCCACTTCTCATCCCCTCCCCAACAGTCTGCCCCCTCAATCCAGCCTGGGCATTTGTAATGCCTCTAGCCACCAAAGTGCTCTCCACTCCCCCCAACAGCAACTTGCTTCTCCCTCCCAGCCCCTTGCCCTCTTCCTCCTCCTCCTCTCTACAGTCAAAGAGCTGGAGCCAGTCCCTAACCCCACAGTGACTTACGGGACAGGGTCATCCGTGACAGCAGATTGGAGGAGTCGGGCCAGGGTGCTGAAGAGAAGGAGCCACATCTCTGTGGGGACCTGCCACAAGCGCCGCCCCAAAGTGAGCTACCTGGAAGCCTCTGAGCTAGGATTCAAGTTGGGGAGCAGGAAGAGAGAGAGAGAGGAGCAGAAACTAAGCTGCTTTCTCTCTGGCTCTCAGTTTCTGTGGTGCCGGTCTTATATCCTCATTCTGTCAGGGGTGTGACTCTAAAGATTACTCCTTGCCCAGTCACCTATGGGAGACAATCCACAAATCAAGGGCTGTAGGAGGGAGGGTGCAGAGTTCAGATTTAACCCGTGAAGGGAACTTACTCTGGAATGGAGATGAACGAGTTCTGGAAAGCTGGAAAAGCCACTTAAACTCAGGCCCTTTCTCTCTGAATTTGCCAGGACCAAAGAATATATACATTATGTGTGTAAGTACAGTATGTGTAGTGTGTGTGAGAGAGTGAAAGAGAGCTTATATGTACATAGAGCAACACTGGCTGCAGAGAACTAGCTAAGGTCCCACTCCTAATCAACATACAGAAAAGAATACGCAACTTTGTCAATGCAGCAAACACTCCCTGCACTAGGGGATTAAAAATTAAATGCAAATGAAAACATGAGCCACCCAATATAACATCACTCCCAGATTATAGTTTCCTAACCAGTGATGCAAACAACCTCACCTCAAACCAAACAATGCTGAAGGTACTTAACCAACACCTAAAGCACCAATATATGAATCACCTGAAAGAACAAATTAAGAACAGTTAAAAAGCCAGATTGCTACAGAGCTCTGCAGAGAATTATCATACCAAGGCTGCATTTACACTAGCAAACTTCATAGCCAGAATTCACTTCTAGTGCAGCTCAACCAATAGGAGGAACAACAGCTGCCAAAACATGTATCATAGGCAGGACTCAGACATTTTTGCCCCGTCATCTAACACTGTTCTGAGCAGACATACAGTCGAGCTCTGTCTAGATGCCATATATCACAGTTCTGTCTGTATTACAGCTTTCATTCTATCATTGCTATTACTGGTGGAGCTGCACTGGTAGAGAGTTATGGGTATGTTTGCTAGTATAGACAAGACTGAGCAGATTGCATGTAGCTCCTGTAGGCCCCATCCAGCTGACAGCTAGGACCCACTGTTTAGGAAGTACACGGCTGGCAGAAACTAGGCAAAGATACTAGAGCGCCTAAGGGACAACAGACTGTATTAAACCACATTTGGAGTTTCTAGGCCAAACCATTTTTGAGATAAGATGGGACATAAACTCTGGTGGAAAATAGCTATACAGTGAGATCATCCCAATATTAGCAGTCTAGTACTTCCCAAACACCTTAACTGATTTCCCTCAGACTTTCAAGGGAAAAAGATCAATCCCAGCCAAAGCTCATAATTGTGGCAAGCAGATCACAATTCTGGCATGGGTGCAGTTACAAGGTTGTAGGGAGAAAGCCTAATGGAAATCTTGCCTCTGCTTTATCTCTGTGGAAGCAACTAGTGTCTCTTCATAATACTGTATGGTAAGTGTGAGAAAGTGCTATGTGCCTCTTCTAAAATTAACATGCATACCTTGAGGAATAAGGAAGGGTAATATAATGGAAGACAGGATTATGTACACAGTACATTATGTACAGGATTATGTACACGGTATCTAGTTCTTGAGCAGCTGGACAGGTGACAAATCTAGCCAAGGGAAAGTACCAAGTGGAATGGCTCACGCCAAATGAGAGAAATTGCAAAAGAATTTGCATAGAGATGACATATGTACAGCTGAGAAATCCTTCCTCTGTTCTGAGCGATGTGTTTCTGCAGCTGATCTACAGAATAGAATATACGGCCTTCATTGCTTATTTAAGTTGAGGAGATAAAAATCAAATTATATTTTTATTGCTGTATTCAGGTTAAATCTCCTGCATCCAGTGCATTGGCATGAAAGTTGGCTGCAATAGTCTGAAAATTGAAAGTTTCAGATTAACATGCTGTTGTTTGCATCCCTTAGTTTGTATACTTTCAATGTGTTTTTATATCCAGTCACACAGCTTCTCATGTTCTTTGGCCCAGGAAGCTTCTCCTTCAATACAGTTTGCTCACATCTCATGAACTCAATGAGATATGTGAATGGCTTCCAAAATTAAAATCCTACCTCTAAGCCTTGGGCATCCTCTGTCAGCAAAATCTTCTTTTCCTCCTCTCATCATGATGTAAAGGTTGTAGAGGAAGGGGAGGGAGGGGTCCTTGTGCTAAATCAAGATGTGGCAGGTTGCCAGTATTCTCACTGCATGTTCCAGCCAAGAGGAAGTCACAGTCCTCAAAGTAAAGCTGAAAATTCATGTGCCACACCTGCTGCTGAATAACACTCAGTTATAGCTGGGTTCCTGCACTCCAGAGAGGTAAAATGTGCAAGGGAGACAAGTGGATTCAGTGCATGTTAGAAAGGGTTCAGTTGTTACTGTTGTAAGGTACAACTTCTTCTGAAAGACACCAATAACTCTCATGAGGTCCTGACACACTAGCCCAGTACTTGCAATGATCTCCCCTCCTTCAGTATCTTGGCTTGTACATTCTTCTTCCTTCAGTATCCCTCTCTGTCCTTTCTTGAGCCAGAAATCAAAGGTTAACTCTCTTGACCCTTACAGCTAAAGTGCTCATCAGAAACTTGGCCTGCCTCAGTGCAACAGCCTCCCTTCTGAACCACTGCCGCAAAATGAAGGGTTTCATTTCCCCCGCTCTGAACAGCCTGAGCAATCCATCCTCCCAATCTGGGCCCCAACTCAAACTGCCTGCACTAGTGGTGAAAATCGTGCCTCTCTATGTACATTGTTTGATTTCCCCTCCCAGATTAATATCTTCTGAAATTCTTAGCACAGTCTGCAAAAATACCGGGAAGGTCTGATTTAAGTGATTTCCTTTATTTCAATTTGTGTGCATGGATTTGGCATTCAGATTCCTAGAAAATGAAAGCTGCTTATGAAGTCACACATCCTTTCTGTCCCAGGAGTCCTATGAAGGATTGTTCCCTGTTCACCAGGGCTATGTTCAGTCCTAGTTTTATAATTTAAGCAATAGTGTTTCCACTATGTCCCTTGCAAAGACTATTCCACAACGTAACAGAGGGCAGGACAGAAGGGCATTGACAGAGCTGTGTGGGGAGCCCAGGGCTGGAATAGCAGGGAGCTGCAGGGCAGGATTGAGGGGCACAGGCAGGGCTGTGTGGGGAGAATATATAAAGCAATATTCTTAGCTCTCAGTTGAGCTATCAGTATCTTACTTTCACAAGAAATGTATGTTTCTCAAGAAGGGGAGATAGGAAAATGATCAAGTATATGAAAACTGCTAGCATTGAGGAGGGAGAGGAAATGTTTAGGGTGGAGGACTAGGTGAAACTGAGGAAAGGGGAGAAATTCCTTGCTAATAGGAAGATTGCTTAGCTGTATTAGGCAGTAGAATCCTCTCCCCAAAGGAGAAACTCCATAGTTTGGGACATTTAAAACAAGGACTAGATGAAGCCCTGGAGAACAGTGTGGGGAACAAACCTGCATTGGCCAGGAGGGAAAGAAGTGGAGGGAGGAGAAGTGGTGATCTAATTCATTGTTTCCAGCTCTATAATTACTGCGAGTGTCACTTCTACCTCTAGATAGACAAGGTGGGCGAGGTAACATCTTTTATTAGACTAACTTCTGTTGGTGAAAGAGACAAACTTTCAAGCCACACAGAGCTCCTCTTCAGTGCACAGCCTTGAAGAGGTTACGGAGAAATGGCGGATCATGAGGAGCACTTCGAGGGCCAAATCTAGAAGAGACACAATGGCACCATGGCTGCTTATGGCAGGCCTGATTCACAAAAAACAGTGATAATGGAAGACCTGATAGGTGCAAAACCGTTGGCAGCACAAGATTTGCAAACCTGTTATTTTGAATTCTGAAAGACAGGATCTAGACTGAGTTCTTGAACCATTTTTTGCTTTAACTCCTCGCCTCCTCCCAAGGGAGGTTCCCTTATAAAATATTTTCTTCCTAAATGGAAGTCTCTGCTCTACATGAGCCATCTAGAACCCCCCAAACCTGACAAAAGCTACACTGATGCAAGTGGATGCCTTCGCCATTATTCTGCCATTAGAATTTCTCTTACCCTGCTACATTTTTCACCCTCCTTTTTCCAGTAGAATTTCTCCCTCTCCCACTCTGAAGTATGAAGCAGTCTTGGCTTTCCAGACAGCTTCCCTCTCTGCTCCTTTTCTCACAGTTGCTCCTAAGCAGAACATGAGCCCAATAAAATAACAATTAAAGACAAATTTTAAAACCCACAAAGCATGTTAGCCAATGCATTTAGGTTATATACACATTCACACAAACCATATTAATAGGTATTATTCAGATGGTACTAATATAATATGTGTGTGTGAGTGTGCTGGCTAATCATGCTGAATTGCACTATGTTTATTCTTGCTCACTTATGCTAAGGCATATCCCCCACAACACCCAGGGACAAGAATAGGTCAGCAGCTTAGCTTAGGCATGGGAATAAGTATACAAGCCCTTAGAAAAATACAGAAGCTGTCAAAGGCTAGATGGATGAGTGTTATGAAACAAAGGTACAAGGTGGTAAGGAAATAATGTAAGGTATATAAATACTTTGTATTTAGGAGTATCTTCATGCCCTTTAACATTTCGAATTTAATATTCAAAACAAAAGATGGGAAAGTACAGGGAGGCACCAAAGACAAAACTGGCACAGAAACTGGCTAGTTAAACTTTAAGTCACATGAAAATTGTTCTGTTACTTGTAAATTGCCATTAGATAAAAGATGGCTAATATAATATAAGTGGCTCAAACTGCCATTTGAGAAGCACATCTTCTGTGTAAGGTGAACTAAAAACGTTGCAAAAATTCATTTCCTGGAAAGGATTGTTGACATATTGACTCCTTCTTTCCTGAACTGTATTGCTTTATCCTTCGACATTGCATTTGGCTGAGCTTGGTTATTTGGTCTCTTGAACATTCTTAACAATGAACTGCAACTGTAGTCAATTAGTTAGCTATACCTTTTCATCAATAAGTGGGTTCACAAATAGGCAAAAACTTACTTGACAAAGATACAACCAGACTAAAGATACACAAATTAAAGCTGTGCCATTAACCTTGAGGGCTGAGGTGACAGTTATAGGTAGTTTGTTTTCACACCCCAACTATTTCCTTGCTTGGGTGATGCAATGCTATATCTCTTACCTCTCTCTGGGCTGGATTGCATAATAAGGTTATCAGTATCTGGAGGGAAACTCAACCTCTGTGATGAAGGAGCTAGTCAAATTAGAGGAGCCAACTGACTAACAGGTTGGTTTGGTTTTCAGAGATGGCAGCTGGAGCATCATCCTAGTTTAACTGGTTTTACTATCTCCAACAGACGAGAGCTCACACAGCCCGAGATGTTCTGAGCCTCCTAGATCTCCCCAGGAAATGCCAGAGGGAAAATGTTTTCCCTTGAGTTACCCAAAGAAATCTGAAAGTTAACCCAAGGATGGCCTAACACAGATGGGACAGAAGGAAGGTTGGTCTATGCTTCCTGTGAGAATAAATCCTTCCCCTCAGTACTGCCCTGAAGTGCCACTGTGGAGTACCCAGTGGAGATAAGCCAGAAAAGAGCTAGACTGGTGGTATTGGTTTAGGTTGTTATCTTTGACAGTCAGCTTCCTTCAAGCTAGAAGTCATTAGCCATTTGCTCAAGAAATCACATCCGCATGTCGATTATCCCATCACCCTATCACTAACTTTTTCTTTTGGAGAAGGTTATTGAGAAGTTGAGGCAAGACATCTTGAGTACTGTCTGAGGCTTCAGTCAGAATTTCATTGTGGGCATCTGTAAACCAGCAGGCAAACACCAACCTGAAAGGTAGAATAAAGTTCCCAACAACCATCTAATCCAAAGTCCTTTCTCACGGCTGGCTTTAATTTAAAACAAGAATTCCAAAACCAAAGCAAATAAATTCCAACCAACCACCCAGGGCTTTCCCAACATCTGCCCACTGGGAGGGGTCAGGATACTCCCTTCCTGGCTAGTATAGCCGCACACTTTTCTGACCGTATGTCTCTCCTATTTGCTATCCTTTCCTAAAAGGCAGGAAGCCTTATAACTGGTTTGTTGAAGGTCACATGACTAGAAGCAAGCATTTGACCTGCAACTACAGCCCCCTATTTTAAATTGCTCAAGAGGCACACTGGGATGTGCTCATGTGCCCCAAGGTCCAGTGCTCTTTTATATGATGGCAGAGAGGTTGCAATGGTCTCTGGCTGCTAAGTTACAGATGAACAAGAAAGAACTCTCTTTGCCAATTTGATCTAATGTACCTATCTGGCCTCCACTACTGTATTTATCTGAGTGCCTCACAGTCTTTCATGTATTTATCCTTGTAACATCCCACAAAGACAGGGCAGTGCTATTACCCTTATTGCACAGATGGGGAACAGAGACATGATCTAGGGGGTTGCAGAAATATAAGTCCTGAAAAAAATAGCCATTTAAAAAAAGAACAGTTACCTATCTTTTTGTAATTGTTGTACTTTGAGATGTGTTGCTCATGTTGATTCCATTCTAGGTGTGTGCGTGCCTACATGTACAGTTGTCTGAGATTTTTGCCTTAGCGGTATCCATAGGGCCGGCTGTGGTGCTCCCTTAAGTGCCATGCTCATGCGCTGGTATATTAGGTACCGCCAACCTTACGCCCTCTCAATTCCTTCTAGCTGGCAACTCTGACAGAGGGGCAGGAGGGCGGGTAATGGATGGGAATGAGCAACACATCTCGAAGAACAACAGTTACGAAAGGGAGGTAACTGGTTTTTCTTCTTCGAGTGCTTGCTCATGTCGATTCAGCCTCTGTCGATCCCCTGAATTGAACAGAAAATGTGGCATTTCCTGTTCTCCCTAGATGCGAACAGGTTCACCCGGGGAGTCCCCCACCTCTGGAAGATGATGCTGACCACTTCCAGATAGAGGGACCACTCGTGGCAAGATGAAAAGGTCCTGCTGAGGCGACCTGCCAAAGCATTCCTGGCCCTGGGGAGTTGCACGGCTATGAGATGGAAGTCGTATTGCATATAGAAGTCCCAGAGCCTGAGGGCTTCTTGGCAAAGGGCAGACGATCTGCTGAGATTGCCCAGGTGGGCTCCCCATCCCAGGTCTGAGGCACCGACAGGGATGGAGACACAAAGGGAACTCCCTCCAACATCACTGCAGGATTCTGCCACCGTGTGAGTTACAACAGTATGTGGTGCAGGACCCTGACTACATGGTCCACACTGCGGCTGTTGGAAACATAGGCTGATGCCAGCCACACCTGCACGGGCCTGAGGAGGAGCTGCGTGAGCCAGACTATGAAGTGCAGGTCACCATGTAGCCCAACAATCGCAGGCACGTGTTAGCGGTGGTGAGAGGGTGGGCTTGCGTGCCCGAGATCAGGTCCACCATGGCTTGGAACAGGGCCTTGGGGAGGAAGGCTCTGGACTGACTAGAGTCGAGGATACTCCAGTGAACTGTATGTGTTGCACTGAAATTAAGGTTGACTTTTTCTTGTTTATTACAGCCCCAGGTCGCGACAGGTGGAGCAAACCAGACTGAGATACCACCACACCTGATCCCAGGATCGGCCCTTTATTAGCCAGTTGTCAAGGTACGAGTAAATTTCAACACCCCAGCACCTCAGGTAGGAAGCCACTGGCACTATGGACTTTGTGAACACTCCCAGGGCTGACGAGAGACCAAAGGGCAGTGCCATGAATTGGAAATGGTGGTGGCCCAGCACAAAATGGAGGAAGCACTTGTGCCCTGGGAAAATGGAAATATGGAAATAGGCGTCTTCCAAGTCGAGGGTGGCATACCAGTCTCCTGGATCCAGGAAAGGAATGATGGAGGCCAGGGAGACCATACGAAACTTCAACTTCTTGAGAGACTTGTTGAGGGGACACGGTTCCAGAATGGGTCTGAGTCCTCCTTTTGCTTTCAGGATTAGGAAGTAGTGGAAGTAGAACCCTTTTTTTTCATGTCCCAAG